GTTGACACTAGAAGTTTCATTGATTCAGGGACTATCCTTGGTCCACGTGTAAGTCTTGGCGAGTGCGACAGTGACTGGAATTGAGCTAGGCCCGATCGGGAGGGTGCCGAGGTATGAAGTTATCTCTGTACACGGGAGTACATCGCCTAGGCTAGTCGGTCTTTCGAATAATCGCGAATCCTTTTGTAAGACACAAAATAAAATAATGTGTCAGTAGAATACTTTAACTTAATTCGCTCCAAGTTAGATTAGACTATCTTTGATACGGATAGCACCAGTAGGATGCGCCACTAGGGCGCATGTCCGGGTCTCGATGCGTAGCCACCTCCTCGTGGTGAGACCTGGTAATTGGTATCGTTTTCCAAAGAACAATCTTTGGGAAACGATACCAAGCTAAGAGCTACGCATAGAGTTTAAGATATTTCCTATCTCTTGTAAATTTTCAATGTTTCCTTTGAACTTTGAAAATAAAGAATGAACAATATCTGTTGAAGTGATATATAAATAAAGAAGAATTACGATAAGTGAGGTAAGTAAAATAATTAAAATTTTCTGTGATGAATAGACTATGTATATTGTGTGATATTCATGTAAAGACAATTTTCATAAAATTTCGTATGCAGGAATTCTTGGAAATGACGTCTTATTGGAATTCCGCCATCGAAAGGCTTTTCATGTTATATTATCCTAATTCAAACTCCGAAAGTTGGTCGAAAATTTTACGTCGTGGTTGTAAAAGTATTGTTTAAGGAACTCTTAGAAAGACGTGGCTAGAAAAGGATAGAAAAGAATCTGTGTTCCCGATACCTTTACGAATTTATAATCTCTATTAATTGAAGTATTGAACAAATGATTTAGAAACATTAGGAAATATAAAATTTCTTGCTCTCAAAGCTAAATAAACAAAGCTAAATAACTTGCCAAACATTGCACTTTTGAGTTGGATTCATTGGTGAGCCTGGTGGACAATCATAGGCCCTGGCAAAATCTTCACTATTGGACAGAGGGCCTAGAACTCTTATGGGACCTGGTGAATGAACGCTACTTCTTATTTTTGTCAATGCATCCTCTGGTCTCATGGATCCACACCATATCTGAGCGTAATTCAAAAAGAATAGCTGATCATGAGTAAGATTCACATCAGGAAGCAATGGTTCTTCACCATGTATTGATACCCATTTCTTATAAGCCTAAATCATACAAGAAAAATGATTTTATTGATACTGTATTTTCAATTTTATATCTTATATTAAGCAAGTATTATATCATTTTTATTAAGAAATTAGAATATTTTTTGGTAGAAATATATTATAACCTCAATTTAAAAAAATACATATTCTTGCAGTTTTATAATTTTTATTTTTAACCATTTTTCCCTGAGTTTTTATTTTATTTTATTTTGAAAAACAGTAGAAACTTTGTGTATTATCTAATTAATAATTAAGATGATTGTCATATACTACTACTAATTAGTTGAAAATTACTAACGAGTTATCAATTATCCCATTAAGTTATTAATGAATAATCTATAAATACATAAGAAATAGAGTACGTTACCCGGAATGACTGTTTTAATCCTCCATTATCAGCAATATTCTCTCCCTGAGTCATCCTACCATTCACATAGAGATCAACTTCTTGCAATTTGTATCTGGAATACTGGTCCACAATACACTGAGCCTTTTCTCTGAAAGCTTTCACAGTGGCATTGTTCCACCATTGAATCATGTTCCCATCTTTATCAAACTGACGTCCTTTGTCGTCAAAACCATGAGTAATCTCATGCCCAATTACTACACCTATGCCCCCATAGTTCAATGATTTTGGAAAATGCTGAGAGTAGAAGAGGGGTTGAAGAATTCCAGCTGGAAAGACTAGAATAAAATTAAGATTCATTTTTTACTTTTTTGAGGATATTTAATTAAAAAATTGCTTATATTAATATTAATATAAGAAATTAAAGAGGGAAAATATTTTTTTCTTTAGTTTCAAAATAAGCAATAGTAATGTGAATAAGAATAAATTTACCAATATCATTTTTATTGGGGTTGTAGAAAGCATTCACCACAGCTGGTTCAGTAGACCACTTATCTTTATCAACAGGTTTCCGTAGTTTCTCTAGATTATGATAAGCTTCATACTTCAGCACAGCCAGTATGTTTTCAAGGAAATGATTTTCAGTAATGTTCAACTGTTAACATGAACAACAGAGAAGTGCTTACAAATATAGAATTAGCATCCATAATCAAGTTTTGAATTAATTATTAAATAACTATATATTTATATATTTATATGAACATTTTTTTAATTTTACAATTAAAGAAATATATTGTATTTCTCACTGAAGATATTATTTTGCACTTCTCTTTCTATTTTGTAAGATGATTAATAATTAATATCTCATAATTAAATATTAAAAAATAATCTTAATATAATCTTTTACATAAAATAATAAATACCATCACGTATTCTTTTGAAAGTTCAACAGGATCTTTCAGAAACTCAGGGTATCCAATTCTCTCGTTCATAGAATCAGCTTTATTCTTAGCCACAGCTCTAGTTTCATTATCCATCCAATGATTTTCGGCCAGCAATTCATTAAACGCCTCTCGTATCATGCGAATCATCTCCAGTGCTGTCTCCTGAAAAACAAATCATCCTCCAGAATAATCGAAGATTAACAAAGTATTATCATTTGAATTAAAATATACATCTATTAAAAAACAATTTTTATGGTTTTAATGTCCTTTTTTTATGTTGAATTTTACAAATCTATTTGTTGACATTTATTAAAAGATATGGCTCGATAAGTTAATTGAAAATTAAAAGAATATATGACTCAACGATGAATAAACGACATATATGTCGAAATATATGAATGCAAAAGTCACCTTGCTCTCGTGATTGAAATTGTCACGAATGAAAAGAGCACCAACAGCCATACCAAGCCTTTTATTGGTCCAGTCGACACATTGGGACCATCTGTCTCTTTCACTTAGTATACCCAACAGAATCTTACGGAATTCTACTCTCTTTTGCTGATACTCGTCTATCATGTGAGGCATTATCGACATGACCAATCTCCATAGTATATAATTATGCAGTGTTCTGTAAAAATGTTTATTTTAAAAACAATAATTCTTCCTCAATTTCTATTTTCTACTTCCCATATAAATATTTCTAACTTTATTGCTGATGAAAAATTTTAAAAATTTCCAGAAAATCATGGAAGGTAAGGTATTAGAAATTTTAGAATTTGAAGAAACGTAAGATATCAGAACAAATATTTTTCTCTTACCTGCGGTCCGTTCGTTGCACGATACGGCCCATTTGCATAAAATATGGCATGGCGTACGCCACGATGGGTTCCTCTTCCGTTATGGGAGTGCTGATGAATTCTTGAAGGTATGCGCGCCATTTCAGCTGCGGAATTTCACGCTGCAGTTCGCGCAGCGTCAACTTCCGGTAAATGGCAGATGTATCATGCCTGTCAGCCTCCGGCATTGACGCCTGAAATTTGGATAAAGTCTAATTTCAAATTTTACCTTATCTATCCATCAGCGACAAATTTTCTTTTTTCTTCAATACTATACTTGTATTTTACGTCATTACTAAATTTATAGGAAAGTCCTGTCACTCTGTTTCGCATTCTGCAAGAAAGGAAATTAATTGTTCCAACAAAAATTTATTTGAAATTAAGAATATAGATCAGGACAGGAAATTAACTTTTTTATTCCATCAGTTTTTCATTTTTGTCATTCCCAGAATACAATCTAACTTTCATTATTAAATTTTCTCGTCAAGAAGTTTCACAAAAGTCTAAATTAATTGTTAATTTATAAAAAAAACACTATCAAACCCGCATCCATATCAAATTTCTTCGTCTGGAATTATCTTTTGTCGCAGGACATATTTGAATCGCTCATTTGTTAAATCAATTAACTCCACGAAACAAGAAATAGAAATTTACTTTAAATATAAAAAGTTAAGCATTAATCTAATGCTTTGGCATCAAAATTAAATCAAACCCAAAGCACTTTGGCCTATGAATGATCTGTTTATCCAAATCCTCAACAGCGACTAAATATTTGCAATAACAGCATGGCGCCATTTTGTAGCGAATATACTCGTCGATTTGGTCTACGAATGGCGCTGTAAGTATCCAAGTAAATTCTAGTGACAATACTTCCCAATGAATTCGATATATCAATAAATTATCTGACACGCCTGATATACCGATAAGCTCGTACATTTGCTAACTGTTTCTCCAGATTGATCACGTGATTGAATTCCTCAGCCGCGGTCTCTGGATTGGCGCCCAGCAACACGGCAACATTTGTCATGTAACGATGGTACGCGTTCAGTTGAGCCTCACTGCTCTTCTTTAAGTAATAGTCCCTACTCGGTAACGCCAGCTGTATCTGATCCAGCTGAAGAAAATAATTGTCCAACGATCAGACGCATAAAATGATTTTTCCTTGAGCTCGAAGCTCGAAGAAGCGATTCGATTTTGTCGCAATCAGAAAGATCTCATGCTGTCTAGAATCACGATTTTTACACAGTGCACCGAATGTAGAACATAAACCCAATTGTTACAGTGTGCAGTCGTCGACCAAGGGGCCTTACTTTGCCGGCGCACCTGGAGGATATTGGCTGAGGAGTTCTTGTCATCTGGGCCGACCCATTGTTCCAACAACACTCCCTCGTTGTATTCCCCGCGGAGTCGACCAAGCAACACCTCGACGGAGTATGGGGGTGGTTTCCAGGATGCTCCAACCACCGCTGGCCAACCGCCGAGGAACTCGAGAGTCCTCTTCAGTGGAGCATCTCCGATCGTCCTGATACGAGCTGTGAAAATGAACAGTTAGAAACATTTCCCTGACGTCGAGGCATGTTTGTTTGGCTCGAGAAATTTGTGCGATCTTTCGGAAATATGCGATCGAAATGAATTTTCGTTGTACCCACGGATGTCCATGCACGATTTGTAGAACATCTTCGCCTTCAGGGTAGCGTTATTGTCCTCGTCGTTCGGCGGCTCCTCCAGGATGCTCCTCAGGATCACGTGCAACTGAGTAGCCAGTACTTCGAACGTGTTTATTGAACTTCGATCCTCGGGAATCACGTGCTGACGATTCCACGTTCCGCACGCATATTGGAAGAAGTTCACGCATGGGGCAGCCGATTGGTCCATGGCCGACAGTAGAGTGGCAGCTAAAATGAATTCAACGAAGCAAAAGTTTTAGTCGAAAGTGTACTATCATTCGAACGTTTTCTTGCTTCATAGAAACGGTGACTATAAGGGACTATGATTTCATTTGATATATTCAAAGTGAGTTCATAAATATGAAACAATAACGAGTTGTCGTGGAGCGACTATAAGTGACTATAACGCGACTATAAGGGACTATAATGCGATTACAATGCGAGCACGAGGGACTATAGCGTGTCTATAAGTGGCATAATGCGACTATAAGTGACTATAACGTAAGTAGATGTGGTGTAATGTGACTATAAGTGATTACAATGCGATTATAATTGACTATAGCATGGCTACAAGCATTCAAAACGAGTATCTATATAAAATGATTACAAGTTGGTATGATAGGATAGTTATAGCGCGACTGTAAATAACTAGAAGTTAATTTGATTACGTGTGATTACTGGATGCTTCGAGATAAATTGATTTACGGGGTGACAATATGAGAGCTACGATAGAATGTTTTACTATCACTCACACACGGATTCGTATATCTTTACGCTGGTATCTTTCCTAGTTTATATTTCTAGGGATTTAAAGTAAATTGCGGCATCAAGGATAATATCTCAATTTTGTTCGACCAAAGATTCCGCGAAGGATATTTTCGCGGGAAAAGGATGAAAATTTTATTGGTATTAGGTCATATTGGCAAACACGCTGATATTAAATTCTAAAGCTGATATCGACTTTAGTAGCTTTATGCAAGAACATAAAATTGCGCTGTCACGGACGGGAAATTGAATTTCAGTGGTAACAAGGGGGAGAAGCGTAGCGCTTAATAGAATCGAAATATTAAAAAAAGAAGGAAAAACGAACGACACAGAACACGAGACCAATTCAACATCTGTTAGACGAATATCACCGAGCTTATAAAATATCTCTGCGCAATCTCATTTTCTGTCAACAGGTTGGCGGCACGAGTTCCTAACCTATACCGTGTCATAATCTTCTTCACGGTGTTTGAACATCTCCAGTGAGCTCGTTTTTGCCTTTGACCGAATCATTTCTGTTTCCTACTTTCTTTCCCTCGGAAAGTTGTCTCGTTGGTCATATAACGATATTACTTGACGTTTAATGGGGTAATATGAATCGTTTAATCCGACTGAATAATTTTACGACGATGTTAATATCTTCGTCGCCCAATAGAGCGGGATAGCTTTAACGAGGCCAACCGTGATCTCAGGATTGATTGCACCTCCGATAAACTATCTCTAACGAGTAATAACATCGCCCTAGGGTAATCTGATATCGGGCATCAAGGTTTGATTACGTTTATAGTATTAAAATAATTATCAACGATAACAGGATAACGAGTATACGGATACTTTGAAAATACCACTCAGCTTCTCGCAATATGAAATTTGTCCCGAGAAATATATTTTTTTAAATTGACAATTAAAGCGAGTGTATATCGTTAAAACACTGATTACTTGATAATTTCAATTTTCAAAATTTTCCCTGATTTGTCACATAGTTTATGACATAATTCTTCCTTTGTTATTTTTGATAGTCTGATTTATCGAATTTTTTATTTTATTTTAATTGTAACAGATTATTAAAATGGAGATAAAAATAAAATGGGGTATTAAAAGCTGTTAAATACAAGATGGATTTCTATCCGGGTCATACGTCGTTAATAATTTTCTATGGAAACGTGTATTCACATAAACATGCTTAGTCCATTGATAATTAACATCTAAGTAGAAACCAGGGAAGTACGAGTTGTCGAGAAACGTTTTCCTAATTACATTCTACAAAAACGTAAGCGCAGGCTTTTTACGCACTCGTGCTTGGCGGAATGGCTGTTGTTTTTCAGCAATTTTAAATTCAGGTCGAGCACCCTTTTCTCCTCTTCCTTTTTCTCCCGTTCGTAGGGGCCACTTCACTACCCAACCCGCGGTACAGGCACACGGTAATTGTGAAATGTCAAAAAAGGAATTTAATTACACCTCTTACCGAACCCTTGTTATCCAGTATTTCTCGAAATCTTTATTGTCAAATCTACTCTCGCGTTATTTCTCAGGTTATTCAACTTTCGCATTTGATATTTTATCACGAATTCTGATTAATTCTAATTCTTCCCTTCCTTTTACTTTATTGACATCCAAATAATGGAATAGAAATCGCCTTTAGCTCTTGCACCTATTAACAAGTCTATAAAGAATTTTGAATTCTGAATTTTGGAATGTCAAAATGAACTTTAAAGGTCTTTAATAGATAAATAATTATTAATTTAATATAATTATTTTAATTAGTATTATTGGAAGATTATATTAATGGAGAAATATTTTTTAGTAAGATTGATATAGAATTTTAATTTATTTCACAAAATTCGAGATATTATTTAAAATAAATTTCGGAATTTTTATAAATAAATTTCTCTTATAATTAACTGAAATTTGATTACAGTATCTTTATAATCGTCGAAGCTATGGCAAATTTAATAAATTGATGTAGTCTGACTACATAAACCAAAGAAACCTAACCTTATTCATATCTGAAACCTATGTATATTTTGTATATATTATATAAATATAAAATAAGTGATAGATATTACTGTTAATAAAAATAGAATTTCCTATATTTTTTAATTTTATATAAAACTTTAATTTCTGAACATGTTTCATTCGTATAATTTTTAATACACGAGCATATGCATACATATAAGTATTCATATTTCGACTACGCTCTGGCGAACACATTGCATACCCATTACTACAGCTACTGCTGAACAAAAGGTAAATTAATTAAAAATCTGTTAAAAAAATATATTAAAATTTTTATATTAATTGTCTAAAAATTATTTAAAATATTATCTACAACCCAACAATTTATAAATCCACATTACACACTCGAATTTACAATTTCCTGTATGATAATTGTTAAGACTCTGAATTTTTTGACTCGATAGGTTAGGTTCTGCGAAGTTATTTATAATTATTTAGTAGAAAACGAAAGAAAAGAAAAGAAAAATTAAACAACGAATTTTAGACTACCACTGCCTCTTTCAAAAAAAATGGAAAGAAAATAAAAATACATTGACATTGACAGTGAGACAAATTCGACACCACGAACTCTAATCTTTAATAGACGAACCACCTAAATAATGGAAGTACGTCGAGCGTAACCAGCGCATTCGGTCGATAAATAATCGAAAATTCAGCGTGTCGTCCCGAGCTACTGCGGATAAATAAATAATTTGGAATAGCGCCGCTTGTTCCGGGATTGGCCGCGTTTCCAGAGCAATTAAACCGCACGACGCCGTATCGTCAGCAGGTCGGATGGCGAATTTGGCGACAAATGAAAATCGAATTGCAGACCAGCTTCGGTCAACAGGCAATTTCACCGGGAACGGTTAATCCGATTTGCAGGCGTGTGCGAGGCGGTACGCATTTGTCGCGGGACAACGCAATTCCGGTCGGCCACCAATCAGTTCTCGCTGATCTGATTCCATTTAGCTCGCCACGGATATTGCTCGGCGATATTTCGCAGAGTCTCTTACGGACGATTTTTCTCCTCTCTTCACGTCGATCTGTTCGATAACGCGTCGATCGTCACACCGCGATTCGTCGATAGATGGCGCTACGTGACTTTGCCGAGTGCGAAGGTTGGGGAACACGAGAGATTGTTGCGAATTTTTCAGTGATTATTACCGAAGATAAATACGCGATACGTACATAAATTTGTGAGTTATTTCTTTGGAAATTTTTTAAAAATTTAATGGGACGAGTGCGAATTTATATTTTAGTGGAAAATGCGATTTAGTAATAGAGGTTCAGGGACTTTTATGGGAGCGGGAAATACCGGTATTTTACCGGTAAATGTCGGTAGTATTTTCATGATATTTATCATAAATACAGATATACCGGTATAGCGTCAGATCGTTATATGAAAATACCAGTATATTTATTTTGTGTATTTACCGATAAATTTTTCAGTGTTTGTATTTCATTACAAAAGCTTTAATATTTCTTTTAAGTAGAGACCAAGAAAAATTAAATTTTATTTTTATATGAATTATACTACACAGGCAACTGCAAGCAACTGAAGGTAAATAGATAAAGATTGGTTCTTAAGTTCGATAGAATACCAAAATAATATCGTTTTCTATGTTATACTAGTAATGAAATTGCAGTATCGATAATAATCGATTTTGATATTATATCCGTTTTGGTATACTCTTACTGGTATAATGCCAGTATTAAATCCCTAAAGAGGTTAATTCTGTGATTTTTATAACAACAATTGATAACAGATTTTTTATTTTATAAAATAAAAAAACATTAATTGTGAACTTTCTATAAATACAAATTTCGTTTGTTTTGTATCTATGTAACAACCTTTTGTATCAGTTTCTTGCTATTATTGAATGGATGAAAATGAAATATAAATGGAAATATAAATCAATGGATAACCTAAAAAATTTTCATGACTTTTAGTGAAATAGAAGGTATCCCTTGGAGAAAAGCGGAGAAATATTTGAAATTTGAAATTTAAAATTACCTGTCCAGATGCACTCCTTTGTCATGCAAATGTTTGGACCTGAAACAAAGGGAAAAATGTATTTTATGTGAGGAATTCAAGGGATTTGAATGCAATTTTAAAAGGCGCGCGGAATTTATTCGTTGACATCAGTGTGTAAGTCGTTCTTTCAAAATTATGCATATATGCGGCAGTGTCGAGAGAGGACGCAACAATTTTCTACGTCATTAACATAGACCCACAAAGCAACACTGCGCGACAATAAAAAGCAATTTTCTGCTTCGATAAACGTGACTTCATTGTTTCTGCTCTCGGCATGCGATGCGGAAATAAAGAAGTTGTCTGCATTACTATTTTTATCTTCGCAAAAGGTGTTTCACGTGTTCTTTTCACTCCGATAGTAACAAACAACTCATTATCAAAAATACAATACATTGTTTTGGTAATAACGAAGATGGTCTGCAGGCGCTCGTTAAACGATATTTTCAATACCTTTGACGGAAATTTGAATGTCACCTTGTGCCACCTGTTTTCACTTATATTTCATTAATTCTAAATATTCCCTAGAAACATCCCTAGAATTTCAAAGTTGCAAGAATATCCTAGTAGAACATAATTAGTAATACTCTTTGTAATTATATTAGTATTAGTGGAGTATATTTTATGGAATTATATTAGTATTAGTATAGTATACTCTTTTGAATTATATTAGTTACGTTAGAACCAAATTAGTTTCTATATTATGCATTTATGTCTAAAAAATAATTTTCTTTGAATATTTAACATTTAAATATGCACGTTCGCAATCATGTTTTTATCAGAAATATAAAAAATAAAGATTCTGTATGTTTGCATATATAATTTATTTGTAAAACGAAATAATAATATATTTAAGGAAATTTGTATGATTTTGTTTTTTTGAACGAATCTGTACATGGATATCAGTAAAGTGATTAACTTTGTCAGTAGCTATGAGGTAACACCGGCCTTTTCGAGCAAAACTTGATAGCCTCGACTCGATTCGATTTGATTCGGCTGATCGATGTTCGCTTCTGACACGAGCTGTTGAACATTGAAAGCCGTTTACTGTTTCTCATTCGTTCGTAATTTTCCATTGCTCTTCGTGTGTAATCATCAAATATCCTTTTGATATCTCTGACAGGTATTAAGCGAAAATGAAACGCGAGAAAAGAGATGAAATAAAATCCCCTATAAATTGCTATATTTTTGTTTAATATTTTTATTTAACGTCATATGACATTAAACCATCCCATTTTATTTCAGTACAATATTACATCACTATATCATTCATTCATTATCGATTATTACAATAATTCTTAAATTTCAGATTGCTTTTTAAGGTCCAAGTTAATTCTTTTAGGTTATGTTTACAGTATGTAAACTCTATTCTATTTGGGCATGTTTACAAAAAGATTTACTCTAGATGGGAGAATTTTTATTTGGTAGTGTCAATCTATAAATTTTCGTAATCTGATTAACAGTTTTATGAGGTGATATTTCACTCATGCTAGCCATCCAGAGTTAGGTTAAAGTGAGTAACTGTGGTCAATTTTTTTCTTTTACGAGCAAAAGAATATTCAGACTTTAAGCATAAGTGTGAAGTGTCTTGGATTACTTTATTATTGGAAAAGGTAAACTTTTGTGTTCAAAATGGAAGACTACTTTTTAATCCAGGAAAAAATACTTGTTCAAGTAATTTTACGCAAGGACGCGTTTTTTTCCGCAGCCTCCTTTCAGAAGTGTCTCATGAAATAGTAATTAAACTCTTCTGGAAGAAATTCTCATGGAAAAGAAGATTGCAAAGACATTTGCGTGAAAGCGGAATGAACTTTTCAATGAAAGTTTCCAATATTTCATTCTAATTTACCGTATTACGATCCACGCTAATTTAAGATAAAATTTTCGTTTTTCAACAAGACTCATAACTAAACAATTATTTTGTATGTTCCATAAATTGTACATTGAATTACCTAAATATTTATATAATTATATAAATAATATAACAGTGACAACAAAAATAAATAAATGTATAAATAAAAACAGAATACATGGTAAAAAGTGAAAAAGAAAGATAATGATATAGAGGAGTACAGAAAATGAGGCTTTTTATAAATTTAACCTTGAAATTTATGGAGACCTTCAAGTTATAATATACTTTGGAACTAATATATTAACGTACATATTGATGTATTTAAATATATATGTATCCAAGTCTATAAAAACAAGAAGTTTATATTATTATAGAAGTCACGTGCTAATATATCCTAATATTCAAGATAATATGCAAATATTAGTAGAATATTCTAGCACATTCCAGTACTTAACCATCTACTACTTTGTTCAATAGCTATACCTTTGAACTGAATCCTGAATTATTTGATTCTATATCCAGATACCAAACTCTGGTTTCAGTTATATAATTTAATATATTACTATATACAAGATGCTCAATTATAGTTTGAAATCAGAATACCATAGTACGGTACTCAGTATCTGTTCTTATATCAAGAAAGAAAGTACATGATCTTACTATTAGAATACTTTTAGTATCACTATTTACACCATTCTAGTACATTAGTATATTTTACTTAATCATAACATAATCATCTCACTAAAATACAAAAGATCAAAGCCTACGTCCTACTACCATTCAATCCTGATTTTGGTTTTGAATACCAAACTTGGTATCCAAATGAATTTGGGACATATTGGTAAGTTATAATACATAACCTCTAATACACCAGCTCATACCAAAGCATGCAAGATCAAATCAAGTGTCTGCTTCTGCTTCAATTTACTTTAACATCAAACTAACTCATTTCAATTCTAGATCAATTTTTGAATCTACCACTCAACAGCTTTAAACCGCTATACTTTGACACCTAAACTCTACACTAGCGCGCTCTGCGCTTGAGTCTACACCAGCGCGCTCTTTGTCACGCTTGATCAAACGCTAACTCACTCTAATTCTACGACAATCTTCGGATCAACTCAATAGTTGCCGTATTGCTATTCTTCGGCGTATAGATCCCACTCCAGCACGCTCTGCGCCTAAATCTACGCGAGCGCGTTGTATCACGCTCGAACCGGCCACTGCCAGCCGCTTAATTAATCAGACCCATCGGAACTAATCGTATCATTTAGAGCTAATTCAACTTACGGGGCTCCTGCACGTATTCGCGGCTCGTGTTCAACGCCAACAGCAGCAGGATGAAAAGACAAGTGGCGAGGAGAGTGACGGCGAGCACACCGAACAATTGCTGCCTGTTGGCCGGCCTTCTCCGCCTGCGTGTGATAGACGCCGCTCGCATTATTCCGCCTAGCGGCTTCCGGCTGCTTCCTGGATGCTGGAGAACCGTGGTGGTCGTGTTTTCACGCGGGCCATAAGTCACCTGCCATGCAGAGAATTTTGGACGTCTTTGTTAAACCACGAATTACGAGAAATTATCTTGTCTTTTACATAGTCATTTCATAGAATTTTTGTTTTTAGGAATGCATAATTAATTTATATTTTTATTGATTGATATTAGTAAAATTTAATTATTTTATTAATTTAAATATCGCACAAAATTTGTACTATATTTTACTTATTTTATTTATTTGAAGATGTGGAATTGTTTTGAGAGAGTTTTTAATGGAGAAATTGTCTTGTCTTTTACATAGTCGTCTCATAGAACTTTTGTTTTTAAAAATGAAGAATTAATTTATATTTTTATTAATTGAACTAGTAAAATTGAATTATTTTATTAATTTAAATATTGCATAAAGTTTGTACTATATTTTATTTATTTTATTTATTTCAATATGTGGAATTGTTTTGAGAGAGTTTTTAATAGAGATGTTGTTTTTGTTTTTTCATTATAAATTTATTTGTTGTTGTTATTTTAGGTTAAACGTGTTTATTCTTTTTCTGTTTTCTGAGAGGCTTTGTGTGGATTTATTTAAAAAGAAATTTAAAAGTTCTGGGAATTTTCAATCATGTGTTTAAAGTGGTGATACTTCATTTGATTCGCACTATGAGACTTTATTGAACATTAAAGAAGCCTTATAATAAATTGCTATTGAAAATCGTGCCTTAATATGCCCTTTCCCATGTTTTAAACTCTTTCATGAACGAATCATCATCTCAAACACCCTCTCAACCTCGCTTCACAAAACATCTTCTTTAACTACCGGTTTATTATCAATTATTATGCTATTCACGATTCTCATATCATCTGTACTATAATATCATCAGTTATTACTGATTTCTATCAAAACTCAAAATTACGTAGTTTTGAGTAATTTAACAAAACTTTCCTATCTTATCAAATATTTAAATGTTTAATGCAATCTTTTAGTTTAATAATCAAAAATAAACACGTACCACAAATAACGATAATAAAAATATCAAAAACATTAAGTGAAATAATGCAAAATAAAATAAACTGGTGACTACAACGAATGGAAATAAAAATTTAAAATGGAAACAAAAAATTTTACCCCAAATCCTATAGTAATTCCTCAACAAACTAATCTACAAATGGCGGGGTAGGAAACGTAGTGTGGTAAATTATTGTCAGTCAGCTATTATTTCTCGTAAAACGATATTTTGCATTTATAATAATAAAAAAGAACTCAATATATTATTTTAAAGTTATAAACAGATATTGTAAAAAGAAAATGATATAGAAATACTTTTTCACTAATTAAAAAGACTTGAATATCTATATTTGTGTATTTTTATACAGTTACGAATATATTTTAATATTATATATATATATATATATATTTATTTGGATTTAGAAAGAGGATATAATTGAATTGATGAACGCTACAGTTCTGATTTGCTGATAAACTGAAATTTGTTGAGATTGTATTATTACTGGAAAACTTTTCTACACAACAATGGTAATAAAGTTGCACCTTAAATTAGGCAAGGTTTGTGGATTTCCTATCCCATAATTTTAATCATTGTGTATTTCTTAAAGTTCCTTCGAAATTCTATTATTTCCCAGGTGTCTTTAAATTATTTCTCAATGCATTAAATATTTCCTTTTAAAAACTTAAGAGTCAATAAACTAATGTTATGAAATTCCTAACTTATACCACTGTGATCCTCACCCCTTTAACCCTGCTAGGATCCTGAATTCAAGTATACACTGAAGATTGTGGAAGATGGAAACAGTAAATAAGAATGTTTTTCATACGATACTAATTATTCATAACAATGGAAGCAGTAAATCAAACTCACTTTCTTTCTCCACGTGATTCAACCTCTTTGCCATAATACACAACCTCACGCACGCGACCAGTCCCCCAAATTCTCACTCGTCACTATAGCTGTCCTTTCACTCTTTCACACCATTACACTCACATTCGACGAAAACAAGCGCACACATTCGCACAAACATCGTCAGCACAAAAATATTCCAAATATACGAAATTAGTATCTACAATTTCGAAATCTAATTAAGGGATTGAGAAAGTTTATATGCAAGTTGTCACACCTTCCATAATACATTCCGTTGCAAAAAGAAGCCTGTCAGAGAATACTTCGAACGGAAAATGTAATCACTAGAACTAACAACCACTCATTTCAAATTTCAAATTTTTCCAGTTATTGAAATCGTTTCGGAGAAATTAATACTGACTTCTATTCAAATTATAACATAACTATGTACACCTTATTCTCACTATGATACTTTAACTCTTTGCGGCACAGGATTTCAGATAACAAAATAGACCCATGTTGCACAGAAATTTTATTGCGTTTTGAATGAAACAAAATTGGTATATTTTTACTAATAAAGGAGTAAAAACATAAAACCAGGAAAAAGAGATTGTCGCGATAAACCTTCCGCTTGCAACAATTGATGAACCTGTACTGGCACGTTGAATGTTGCCAACACAAGCGAATCCATTTATAACATTTGTCGAAGGTATTACCAACTGCTTTACGTAAATAAGACGAAATATGAACCTATGCGCATGCAGCTATTGCAATATTTCGAGATGGGACTAAAAATGTCCCACCATGCATCACGGTGCATCAAAAAGGTAGGACACTTTTAATCCCAGTATGCCCCAAAGAGTTAATCATCATTATTCATCTATATTATATTTGGGTCCGAGTTACAAGTCTATCCAGCGATAACCATAATCCTACCACTAATTCTACCAACCTAGAATTAAATACTACCCAATACTACCCAGCTCTGAACCGAAAAATAAAATAAAAGCCCATTTGGGAGGACAAGGCAAAGTGTCTCACCTGAAGAGGAGTAGTCGCAGGTAGATCCTGACCGGAACCAGGTAGTGTCTCGTCCTGCTCCCCGATCACGTTCGCCTTCAGGTATCCGTTGTTGCTTTCAGCCTTCATCCTCCCTCGGCCAGTGGTACGAATCCCTGGATCAACTGGAGTAGGTGGACACTGGTCCGAATTTCAAGCGGGGAACTGTGTCAACGACCGGTGTAACGTTGGCATCGCGGCTGCTCTGGATCCACCGCAGCCAATCGATCATCGATCCTCCACGATCACAGCGAAAGACCTCGGAAGCTTTTATCGACCTTTATCGACACTCGAAGGGAGCAACAGTCACTTCGACGAGACTTTTAGCCCCGACTTTCGCGAAATTACACTTAGCGAATTTTATTTCACGCCAGTTGGTCTGACGGAGGATGATTTTTATTAGGTGCGACCGATGTGGAAGCTGACGGTCGGTTGCCAGTTCATCGTTGCAGTGAGAGACGTTGGGGATTGGTGATGGCTGAAAGGAGATCAGGCAGATTTTCTGCTCCGAAAGGATCTGTGACCGCCGTGCTACTGACGAGTACCACCGACACCTAGCACTCTCGCACCACCTCCGTTGTCCCTGCCCCCTCCGATCGCCCTCTTCCTCACCCTCAACCCTCGATTTTGTTTACAACGCGAGTCAGGCCGCCAGGGTGGGGGCTCTGGCCAGACCATCGCCTTTTCTGCGGAGTTTATACGGTCTTTTGTTATTTTCTTCCTCTCTTCTTCCTTTTCTTTGCCTTTTATCGCACCATTAATTGGGCTTATGAATGACCCCCTTTTATAAGTTTGATTTATGATCTTTTATTATTGTCGTTAATTTCTAGTTTGTTGTCGAGTTCTAAAGTCTCCCTAGACTTTTGTACTGTATAATTCTTGTTTTTCTTTTCATCAGGCTCTTGATAGATACTGGTACCATTGTGTATAGTATTTCTCTGTGGTATTTAAAAATATCTTTTAGAATAAAGAGTACAATCGAAGATTGGGAGGTGGTTTCCTTTAGACAATGTGAATATATTCGCCCTTTGCAAAATTACAATTCTTCTATCACGTAGTTAGGTTGAATTATTTATATCAATTAAGCAAAATGGACAAGTGTTCATTTCTTAAAGATCATTGTTGAATAATATAGCTAAGTGGTACTGATGCAAGATTATTGGAATTAATCAAGGAGTTTAAATAGGTAATAAATTTTAAATAAAAATGTAATAAATTTGACTAGTCTTTTTAAACAAATAATAAAATGAACTATAGCTTTTACAAATTATAATATATCTAACAAATAAATAATAAATTTAACTATGCTCTTTAAATGAATAATAAACCTGCCTATGTTCTTAGAATAAATAATAAAATTAACTACAGCTTTTATAAATTATAATATATCTCTCAACTAAATAATAAATTTGACTATGCTCTTTAAATAAATAATAAATTTAACTATGCTTCTTAAATAAATAATAAATTTACCTAAGTTCCTTAAATAAGCAATAAAATTATCTATAGCTTTTATAAATTATAATGTATCTCTGGACTAAATAATAAATTTGACTATGCTCTTTAAATAAGTAATAAATTTGACTATGTTCCTCAAATTAATAATAAATTTGACTATGCTCTTTAAATATAAATTAAATTTATTCTCCTCAATTAAATAATAAATTTATCTAAGTTCCTCAAATGAACAATAACATTAGGACTATAGCTTTTATAAATTATAATATATCTGTCGAATAAATAATAAATTTGGCTATATCTCCTATATCGTTTATACAAATAACAAACATATTAAAACCTATTGTACCAATTACAAAAATCTGCAGTACCAATAGACCAGTGGCAATTTTTCGCTTCATATTCAGATAATCGTGTGTGGAACATAATATTAATGCTTCTGGAGTATCTGCAACCGGTTTACCTGGGGTGACACGGTTCGTTGATCAGAGGGGTGCGTACATCGACATCGTCGTTCGCTTGCTCCACAAATTCACCCTCCTCGACGTTCCACCCCCCTTCCCGTGCCATTTCCCGGGACATTTTGCCAATTCTCCTCGGTTCCTACAGGAAATGACGTTCACCTCTTGATACGATACACTGTGAATAAACGACGAATTTGTTAATGCACCCCATTCTTGTCACTCGAACATTAGCCACTCATTTTTGAAAAACATATCATTTTTCATGGTGACAATCGTGTCTAATCAAGGATTATTATATCAGTGGGTCCGACGAACGTGTAACGTAGGCAATTAATTTGAAGTCGGTTGTAAAATGAAGATGCTGTCTGTGCAGCTTTAGCATCGATCGGTGTCTCCGTTTTTCTATTAATAAATCTAGTTTATATCAATTCACGTGATACGAAGTATGGTTATTTTAGGAGCATAAGATTCTATCAAATCTTTCCATGCTTTTCGTCCTTGCCCATTTCTCCATGCACTTCGTTCCGTTCTAAAACCAATTTCCATGAAATTAAAAAGTATCGGGGAAGCAGATCCTGGTTACAAATAAAAGTTTCAGCGTTCCAGGAACAAACGCTATTCTCAATTGACGAAGTCAAATATTGCAGAATTTTCTCAATTATTTTATTCTCCTACGAGATAAATTTTTGCGAAAATATTAAAAACTATTGGAAAAGTAAAATCCGAATACGAATAAAATGGTTATGGAAGCCCCATATATTCAGGAAAAATGTTCCATTTTGAATTCACGGAATGGGATAAAAATTCGTAGTCATGAAATATGTTTTAATCTATAAACCGTAATGAAAAATTGGAAAAGGTGGAATAAATGGTAAACTATTTGAATTCGAAAAATTGAGAGTAAAATTAAATTTCAGTGAAAAATATCTGTATTCTTCCAAGAATTAAATTCTATTAATCTATGTATTGACAAACGTTTGAAAATTTAGAAATAAAATTGCTGGAGAAAAACTGATTATTTACATCATTTGTTGCATTAGTATCATATTTGGAAAATAATGTATTTATACTATTTTCTCATCGAGACTGTCAATTATTATTTTTAATTTTTAACATCCCAAGCGTTGCTGATATCGAGTCTCAAAGGCTCGTTCAACTGTTAAACCCTTTCAACCCTATGCTCCTCTTCCTTTAATATTCCCATAATCTTCTCAGAATTTCCCTTTTACCGCACCCCGTCCCTGCAATTTACCATATTTACCTTACTGATATTACTCGAGAACAATATTCCTTTTTGTCATATCAAATCAGTGCAAAAATATATAGTACATTCTTTTTGGTTATTTTTATGCATCGTAATCCTTCCTTCAAAATTTCCAAATTTTTAATTTAAATTCCACGAGAGTGCACTTGAGGCTATTTACGTGAAACAAAAGGGATGCTGAACGTGGAACAGTGTTTAAGGCCACTTGCTCAGTCGATGTACATGCAACAAGCGGTTGATCAGGCTTACCGCGTTATTGATGAATATTTGCTGTGCACTTTGCAGCTGCAATGCAGGAGTGGGGGTGTGGTGGTAGCTAAGTGGTTGAACCAGCTGAGAAAATTTGCTCGAAGAATAATTTCTTTGAGTAACTAACCGTACTAATGGAATTGTGATTAATAGTCTGATCGCCGTAATTTCATTCCTAGGGTGAAATCGAATAAGCGAGAGTAGTTTTGTCGTAACTCGAATTTTAATGGCGAACGTCACGAGTGTTAGTGTAAATTTCAAATTCTCACTTCTGACTTTAACTCTATCGATTAAATTGCGCGTCGAAGAAGAATTAAAAATGACTTTTGGTGGGGAAAAGGAAGAAGAAAATTTCGTATTAAATATTATTATAATGCTATAACGAGATAAATGCAAAATGTTAAACTTAAATTTGATATCTTGTGTTTATTAAAAAATTATAGTATTCTTTATTACTATGGCATTTACCATTTTAACTCGACTTTTAAAACTTCTGAGAAAGCATCAAGGGGAAAGAAAATAAAAATGGATCGTGATAGTAATTTAATCGACTTGATTTTATTTCGAGAATAGTAAGGGATGAAGAGGATTTAAATAGAAACGCTATGGAAATAATCATTTTCACGATAGTTTGAACCGTGAGATTATTATTGGAAATACTGAAATTTTTAATAAGAAGGAATACTGTAATTCAATTTCGAAATTTATATTTTAACATTAAAAGAATTATTAATAGATTGATATAATAGTTCCAAACAACTGCAAATCCTGGATTATTCTCTGGCAACAATTTTACCTCTCGATTGTCAAGTAATTGCTTCAAAAGCATTCCAAAATTCCTCTGCAGCGAAATTCATGCGACAACGCAGAAGGGTAAGCCACCCCCTCGAGCGTCTCCAATTGTTTACACGATATCACGGATGCAACAAGCGACATCGCTAATAGAACGCGTTGTCCAAACACCTACAAGCACTTTGATATCCTCGAAACACGAAAATAAACAGTTGGAATTATCATCCCTGACGTATCCACAAAAATATCACCATTCCAAGCACAACCAAAGGAAAAGGCAACCCTTAACAAACCTTCAAACTTTCAAATCCATTTAACAAAAACTAATCGAATTAATCAAATTTCCTTTTTCGAATAGGAAACGAGCGAAAAGGAAATATTCGTAAAAATGCGTAAAAATTCGCGAAAAATGTAAAAGTTGCAGGGAATTCGACACGGTTTCCTTTTATCGACTGGTTGAAATTGCTTCACGGTGTTTATCCTTTTTGGCAGATGGATTAATCGTCGTAAAGCTGTTTTCCCGTGCGGAAAACCGGAAAAAACGCGAACACGGACGACGGTCAACGCTGGACTGGCGATGGAATTTCGGCGCGACTGCGCTCCTCGCGCGGACGTCGACCAACGGCGCTCCTTTTCCATTTTTTTTTTTTTTTTTTTTTGCGAACATGCAGCACGGTTTTCGAAGGTTCCTACGGCGCATGGTACTTGGAGGATCCTCAAACGTGCCTAGAAATTTCGTTAAGGCTATCCGTGACACATCCGCGACCTTTTCTTTCGAGAAAATTCTTCGATTTCTCGAGCGTTCTTAATGGAATCGTTTAGGGAGGACGTGTTAATGGGGGCGTGGAGCTTTATGGTGTTTGGTCTCGCTGAGACGTTGATTTACTCGTTCCTGTAAGTGGAATAGCAAATTCGACGTCCTCGTTTCGGTTTGGCGAAATTGTAAGGATTTTTAATTTTTTAAATTGATTTTTGACAGAGTTACTTGGAATTCATGGGAAATTTGGATCAGATAGAGTGGTTAGAAGCAGGATTGAGAATTGCTGATGAAGAAGAATGGTTGATTGTTTAATTTGGTAAATTGGGAAAGAAAGAGGATTGGAAGTTCTTATTCGTGGTTTGTTAAGTGAAAGTCATTTAAAGAATTTTCCTGGGATTCCCTTACCAACCGAACTGTCTTTATTTCCCTCGCCATTTGCCGTTATTCTCTGTTGCTGTTGCTACTGCGGCTGTAACTGCGTTTCACGAAGCTGTTGCTGCTACAAGTCGATATCAAGCATGCGCCGTCATTGTGAACTCACGTCATTATCGTGATCTTGAGAAGTCACGTATGCAGTCCGATAATATAATTTTCCTACTGTTAACTATTTGTTAAATTCATATTCCTTATTAAGGAGCTTCATACGTCACGATAAACAGAAGTACTCTTCCAATTAATATTTCAATTAATACACGATTCGATACCACGTTTCCGATTCAATTAAATTCTAGAATATTCTTCAAATTTCGAAATTAGATTACGAATCCTCACAAATATACAATTTTTTTAATAATAATAATAAATAATAGAAAAAGAGGAATAAAGGAGAAAAAATGTTCAGGTTAATAAAAATAAATTCGATGGTGAACCAGAGATCGAATGATTGAAATTAAAAGGAAAGAAAAATTTAAACTCGTTTTCTGTTTGATCTATATCCAAATAATCTTTGGATTTCGAATCATCCTGTATTATGATACGAGTCTTTAAATTCCTTATCAAAATTATCAGAGCCGAATTATTGTTAATAATAACGTGCAATAAAGGTAATAGTATATATGATTTAACACAGCAATGATGTCACGCGATATTGTAACAATTTCAAGAATATTTATCGTAATGAAGCCTGAAATAAGGTTAGGTTGGCGAGGAAAACACGCGAACGAGGTATGCGAGATTTCATCTTGCATACGAAGAACGCAACCACGTCGAGACATTTCTTAAACGGTGCAATGAATTTGCAACCAGTTTTTGAATTATTGAACAGGAGTGACGCAACATCGAGACGCGCCACGAATTCATTATGGCACGCAAAAGGCGGTCGAGCTGCTGGCGATGTTAAAATGCGTGAGAGCAATTCGTGCATGGCACACGACCGATATGGGTGACACAATAACGATAATTATCAATTTGATAATTAGCATCGTTGCCATTCAGGGCCTATGCACCGGATCCACGGATTTGCGATTAAAATTATTCCCCCACCCAGTCCCCTTCTCGGTACGCCCCTGCGAGCTTTTCGTCGCATGAGAATGCGCTCGAATTAACGGGGACATTGAAATTAAAATAGACGAAATTGTGGATGCAGCTTCTCTATACCCCTACAGAATATACCTAGCCCCTATGGATGTGTTATTTGAATTACTATAATTAAGATCACTTCTTTGGGTACTGATTATTCTTTTAAAATGATTGCCATTTTTATATTATTGTTTAATTAAAGTTATTTTTTATTGATATTCGTTAATTTTGTTAAAAAATTCTGAATTTGTTCTTTGTGCACTGTAATCCGTCCTTTTTAAAGAATGGATTGTTATGTGTGTGTGACAGTAGTAGCGATAGATCGATTTGTCTTGATTTTTGTTCATTAGATATTCATGTATGAATTTGCAGTGTGCATTAGTTCATAGAAATCGTATAAATATTAATTATACTGATTCGTCGATAGAAAAAGCATGATTTGAATATTTCTCATTTATATTCCGTATTTCTGAACTCGACTTTGCTTTTAAAACATCCTGTAGTTCGTATTAACACCTTTTGAGGTTAAAAATAATTTATTGTAACAATTATAAATAGATATAATTTGTGAAAAAATTTATACAAACGAAACATCCAAATTTTGAGGTATCCTATATATATCTAACTTTATTTCAACAATTTTTTGGTCCAATAATTGTAAATCAAAAAATGTGATAAAAAAAAAGTAATCTTCAAGAGAATTGGAATTTTCATTAAAAATTGCAAGTAAAAATTATGAAATTGTGTAATTTTTATTATACTATTGCAAATAATATAATAAATGCGTTTATTTTGTAAAATTTATATTACTCGTAATGTGTTTTCACGCATGTAATTACTGATAAGTTTATTATCTTTATCGATGTATACATTTCCAAGTAATCCTTGAGAAAATAGGCTAATATTAAAGTCCAATAATAAAACGCGTGGCCAGTTAGCTAATTACTCTTGATATCAAAACACTAGTAATCGAGATTGCAGTTAAATAATTAGAATTAATCAAGGTAAGCTTAAAGTAAAAGAATAAATATATATTAGCTTAATTGCAAATGGACAATTTACTTAATGAAACTTATGTTAACAATTTAATCGTATTAAATTATAAGTATAGTATTTAAAATAATTAAGATAATTATCTTAATGCTATATATTTTAAAATATCGGCAATATTATAATTTTACAAAGTTATACTGGACGCTACATTTTTAAATAATAATATTTAAATTTAATAGAATATTTAATAATTTAATAGATAAAATTAATAGATATTTAATGTATATACCCTTCAAAATCTTATATCCCTTTATAATTATAAACATCTTTCATTAAAAATCCTTTCGATTCAAAAATAAATCGGTTTGCCTCCTCAAGTTTCATTGCAATTATTAAATCAGAAAACCTCTTTAAAACCATGTCGAATATCCCTCAATTGCAATATGGATTTGAACATTCCCGCGCCCTTTGTTTTCCCTAGCGGTAAAAGGCTGCCCTACCTAGTGACTTTCCTCGACTGTAGAAAGTGCGTGAAATACAGTCACGAAAATTTTCACAACCACCAGCAGATACATCTTCGTATTTTTGTTCCTTTCAAAAGACGAAATTAATTACAAGATCCTCACCAAATTTGTCAAAGAAAACAATAAATATTTGAACACTGTATGCGCATCGATTTCTGTAACCTGCTGTATGGCGCCATCTCGGTAACGGGCATTCAGTTGCACCTATTGCATGGTCCGTGGCAGTAGGTGAAATTGTGTTTTGTCGGGTGGTTAGGTTTCTCGTTGTTCGTGCGAGCTTGCATTTAAATTTCGGAAAAGCCGAAAAAGATGCGGTGGACACGGCGTGTACTGTGCATCGATGCGCGTCCCGACGCTTCTATTTGAGAACCAGCGCGTTCGAGTCGAAAAAATCGCGCGCGCGTTTTAGGTTAAACCATTCGCGATCGGTCGGGTGCATAACAATGCGCTGCGTGAGAAATTCATACGGTGAAAGTCTCTCGGACGTCGTGCAATCGGAATTCCGACGAAGCGAACGTTGTCGCGGGCTCCTCGCCGCTTTCTGACCGCCTTCCGTCTATCGTGTACATCTCATCGTGTGCGTTCGTTCGTAGTGCAACAACAGCCAGCCAAGGAAGGAAAGAGAGAAAAAGAGAGAGAGAGTGAGAGAGGGAGGAAGGGAGACAGAGAGAGACAGAGAAAGAAAGAGAGAGAAAAATACAAGGAGGGAGAAAAATGCCGAGCCTGTTCGAGTGACGATGATTCCACTCAAATTTCGCCGCCGTTCAATTTCATATTGAATTTCCCCTCGTTGCACATGCATCGAGAGATCGTAAACAGATTCGCGTTGCGACGAACATGCGCGCTGATGGGATGGAAACGTAACTGCTCTCGAGACTGTTTTCCTCCGTTGAAAGGTAATCGATGTTTTTACCCCCTATGAATCTCATATGTTCCTGCCTGTTTTTACTATTATTTTCAAGAATTTAACATGTGGTGCAGGGAGGGTGCCTGTCGAGACTGCCATTGACGCGCATGGTTTTTCTTTTTTGTCCAACTGGTTGACGTTCGCGTCCTCTATAAACGTATTCCTTTTTTACTTTTCTTTTCTTTTTTCATTTACTTTTGCTTTGAGACCGATAATTGTTTGATGATTTTATGGTGGAAATCAATTATAGGATGCTTTGATGTATGTTGAATTATATTTTAGAATACGCAGGGTAGATTAAAAATAAAATGTACACTATTTAAATTGTTTCGTATTGTATATGAAAGTTAACTATTGTAAAAGTATTTGACTTGCATGTGTGGTATGAGTACAATTTATGCCAGGCTTTTTTGCACGGACAAAGCTATGCATGGCATAGCATGTGCCAGCAGCTCTTCTCCTTGTAGCTAAACATTATTTCATTTCCTGTTTAAGAGGGGGCAGGAATGAATGATAAATACTATATTTGTATCTTTCTATACACCGATACAATCCTCTGATGCTAATTGTTTCCTATGTATGCTTGATTCTTGTTAACACTGTGAAAAAATGAAAATAAACAAAGTAACACTAACCATTGTTTCTCTGCTTTCCCTGAATACCCTATAACATTGTAATGTTTAAATAAATAAATTATTTCTTTGTATTTCGTGTTTTTCTTTCTTTATTCCATTTTAAATTATCTACTTTTATTTTTAATGTTACATACTTATTGCACATTGATATTTATATTTCGTTATTGAGTGACATTTAGATAATCTGTTTGCCTTTCTTTCCAGGATATTAGAATAAGTGAACATGGCAGATGATGAGGGAACAGAATGGCTGCAAGAACTGCTGCACGATGTTCAACTTTCACAGTTTTTTACCAGAATACGAGATGACTTACAAGTCACTCGGTTGCACCACTTCGATTATGTACAACCAGAAGATCTAGAAAAAATAGGTTTAGGAAAACCAGGCATAAGAAGATTGCTAGATGCAGTTAAGAAAAAGAGAAACACGCAATGGAAGAAAAGCTTGATGACCAAGATCAGACCTGGCAGTAGCACAAAGAGTAATAAAAGGTCTTCTCAACCAGTGGAAGGTTCTGCGGTGCTAACTTGTCTCATTCAGGACAAAGATGTAACATTATCCATTAAATTGGGTGATGGTAGTTTTGGTGTAGTGAGACGTGGAAAGTGGACTTCTCCTTCTGGTAGAACATTGCCAGTTGCTGTGAAAGTTCTGAAAGCTGATGCTCTGACACAGCCGAGTGTTATAGAGGACTTTGTGGCTGAAGTTCAAGCAATGCATACGTTGGATCATCACAATTTGATTAGGTACGTATATCAGAGAAAATGATAAAGATCTATCGCTTTAATAACTTCAATTAAATTAATTTAATTTTTTATTACAGATTATATGGTGTAGTATTATCACAACCAATGATGATGGTGACAGAACTTGCACCTCTTGGCGCTCTGTTGGATTATCTGCGAAATCAGTGTGGTAAAATTTCAGTATTAACTCTATGTAACTATGCTCTGCAAGTAGCCACTGGTATGGCTTACTTGGAAGCGAAACGTTTCTTACATCGTGATCTAGCTTGTAGAAACGTTCTTCTGAGTTCAGTGGACAAAGTGAAGATTGGTGATTTTGGCCTAATGCGGGCATTACCGCAGCAAGAAGACTGTTACGTGATGACAGAACACAAAAAGGTGCCGTTTCCTTGGTGTGCTCCGGAATCTTTGAAAGCGCGTCAGTTCAGCCACGCATCTGATGTATGGATGTTTGGTGTTACGTTATGGGAAATGCTTACATTCGGGGATGAGCCATGGGTTGGACTGAAGGGATCAGAGATTCTACGAAAAATCGATAAAGATGGCGAACGGTTACACGAACCTGAAGCAACGCCGCCAGATATGTATCAACTGATGCTTCGTTGTTGGGCTCGCGAACCTTCTGAAAGACCAACATTCGCCTCTCTGCGATCATCTCTCACAGGAATGGTTCCTGCTGTAATGAAAGCAGTCGGTGATTTCACGATGGCTCGCAGAATGACTATAAAACATGGCGATCGAATAGTCATTTTGGATGGTCGGCCGGAGAATTATTGGTGGAAGGGTCAGAATCAACGAACTTTTCAAATCGGGCTCTTCCCCCGTTGTTTTGTGGATCCTATGAGACGTAAACAGCCAGAAGATATTAGCAAACCATTGGAAAATTCATTTATCCATACTGGCCATGGTGCACCCTTTGGAAAGAGTTGGGGTAGTCCTATTTACATCGACGATGTATACCTTCGAAATCCCATGGAACCACCTGACGTCGTGGGGATTACGGTACCTCCAGACAGTCTTATCAAAGATAAATACTCCTGTAGTACACCACGATCACGAAAGCAATTTAATTACACGAAACTTCAAAACGATATTGGAGCTAGTCCTGTCAAAACGACGAATGCCTCTGTTCCGAGTAGCAGTCAAGAAGGCAGTTTAATAGATCTCTCACCAGAGGAGATGGTGAACACGAATGAAGCGCAATCAGACACTGCCTGTCGACGAGTGGTCAATATCCTCGACGAGCCCATCGATGACATAGAACGACAACATCAAACGAGTTGGCCAGACGATGATCCTCGAACTTACGCCAATTTTCCTGGGAACGTTGATCCGGCATATTCAGACCCGTTCGACACATCTTCGGTATTTATGAAGTTGCCTCATTCGAGATATTATAGCCACGTCCCGTCAGACGTGAGCAGTCGATATTTCAAAACTCAGACTTACGGGAATGTACAAAATCAAGACGCTGGTAGTAGTCAGGACAGTACAAATTACTTCACACCGGAATCTGGATCGGATGTAAACCACTACTCCATAAATTTGAGCAAGGAAAGCAGGAACGATAGTATTAATTTAAACGTGAACGTGGACACAGAAGAAAGTAGTACGTACGGTCAGAACCATTACAGCGAGATCGACAAACCTAGTCCACCTATGACGAATTGGTCCAATTGGCCAGAGGACCTGCAAAATGACTCGCAGACGTACGTAAATGTCTCTAGTCGAAACTTGCAGGCACCCGATGCGCCTCCTCCTCCACCTGTAGCCCCCAACGAGAGTCCTCCGAAGCCGAAGTCTAACCACGACTTGGCGCAAAGTCTGAACGAATTGAGTATTAATTCCCGCAACGTTTCTCCCAAGAAACTAGATCCTGCTTTCCTAGCGGAGCTGGATCTTCCGATCCCTACTCATCTGTTAACAAGCTACAAGACAATACGATTCCAGCGTTGAGGCCTCCACCTCAAACTATCAAACGTAAGTCTCCTCAGATGGACTATAGGAGCAGTAATCTGCCCAGTAAAGTGCAAAACTCTTGGATCTCCAAGAGTACGAACATTCAACAACCACCTCGTACGCAGCCTGAACAACGTGTATCAGAAACGACCACTGAGCAAATGGTGGGTCAAATATGGCAGCAGTCTCAGGCGTCTCAGCATAATGCTTATGGTAATGCTCAGGCGAACTTGAACCTATTACAAATCGCGCCTAGCAATGTGTCCAAGCCGAACTTCAATCACGCACAGAATTCATTACCAACATCCAATCAAGCTACCCATTTTCAAAGCCCTTCTTTGCCTACTAGCAGCCACGGGATAACGCAGATCCAGAACGATCTTCAGCAAGCACACTCCAGTAATGCCGCCTCCAAACCTCCCAGCATGGTATTCTCAGAGCAGGTGTACGCGGAACTGAAGCAAACAGTGCCGAACCTCGATCAACTTTCTCAAAACGAGTTCAATACTCTGTACAACAAAACGGTGCAGCAGAACATCCTAAGAAACTACTACGCTGCCGGTACATCGAGCACACCAGACTCGGCCAGCAATCTAAGTCATAGTCACTTTCTGGAAGGAGCTGCAGCTAGCTCTCAGGCTCGTTCTGGCCAATCCTCAAGGAACACATCGGCCCAGGGTCATCCCTGTGATTTCAGTCCTCATCTGAAGCAGCCTCCAGTGTACAATCCTCCTCCTCCAGCCACATGGAGTCCCATGAAGTCGGTCCAGAACGAGTTAGGACAGGGCCAGGTTGCAATGAAGTCCAATTTAGCAAGCAATCTGGTCAACAGCCCTAATCTACTACAGCTCACGCACACAAACTCACCTCAAGAGGGTGCTATGACGCCGCAAGCATCCTCCACGAGAAGCCTGCCCCCTCAGATGACCGAGACGGTTATTAATACTCAATTAGCCCCCTCCACGTCCGCGTACCCCTCTGGAGTGAGCCCCCCCTTGACGGCGGCCTCTCAGCAGCTGGTCATGTCCCTTAACGACGAATTTCGAGCGAACAAAGTGATGAAGGTGCAGAGAGAAGCGGCCGATGCATCACAACAGGAAATACTCACTGCGCTACAGGCAACTGGCTGGGACACCAATCAAGCCGCCAAGCAGATCTTGAAAGACAGGCAGGCCAAGATTGAGTCCCTCGTCAGGTACGTTCTGTGTTCCTTTCATAGATCGTTTAAATGTTTATATCGTGACCTTGAACGATGTCTTTACATCCAATCTACGTCTCGAGTTTCTCCAACTTGTTTCTGAGCATTTCTGGATATCTTTGCTTACCCCGTTCTTTTTAACCCTCATCCTTACGATTCCCGAGTATGTATGTCCTGTTACTTTAATACTATATCTGAAGCAATTTATATCGTCTACAAACTCATAATTTGGGGGTAAAGTCAGAGTTCAAATTGGACATTCGTAAAAGAATAGTCAGTACGTTAAATTTCATGCATGATCATTATCAATGTGATCTGATATTACGAAGGGGTTTACTAATTTTCGTAATTAATTCGTACTTTTCCCCTTAATTCTGGTCCAATTTTCAGATAAACTTTTCATTAGTCACATAACTATTGTCACGTGTCTCGTATGTGGACCCAGACGATCGTAATATTTCGAAAAGAGAGACTCGAATTTTTGCCTGCCGATCTTCGTGCTGAGAAAGTTCTGCTTAACATTCCTTTCACTTTTTAACTAATTATCGACTTGCCGCTAAAGTTCTTCGAGTTCATATGCATACGAAAGACACTTTCCATTTCTATCTAACCGTAAGATTCGTGAAATCTCAGAACAGGTATCCGGAATATTTTATCCCTGATAAACCTTGCTCGAGCGACATAAGTTTCAGCAGTTGCACGGAAGGAAGACGTAGATCGGTTAGCTCGTAGCATAATCAACCGTTGTAAATTATTAGTTTTTAAATTGTGCAACGAAACTGAACAGTGAAAATGACGCAATCGATTGATGCAATTTCAGATTGGGCTTGGCAGACCGACAACAGTGCGAGGGTGCTTTGAAGCAGACTGAATACGACGTAGATTTAGCGGCTTCCCTCTTGTTAGACCAGGTCAAATGAAGACAGATATAAGAGCAGCTGTTACTGAAGATATTGTAAAATAACTGTAGCGATATAGGTATTAGGAATATGTATTTATAAACGATAGCCATACAACGCGTAAACGAAGCTACGGGTTGCGAGCATGATTAAAGAAGTGTCTCCTCGGAAGACGTGTTGCGTGTATTGTAAAAATGTCGACGCCCCGTGAAAGGTTATATAGTTCCAAAAAAAAGAGAATATTAATTTTTTTTTTTTACTTTCTTTTTTTAAATATATAAATATATATATACGTTTGTTTTTAGTACGGTAGTGATCGAGGAGCACCGATTGCATTCCAGAAATCGAGAAGAGTAAGACGTGTAAAAAGAAAAATTGCGCGAGCTACCGTAGCGAATCGTGTCTCAGATTTGTAGAAAATAAATATTACTCTCGGGCCAGCGTGTAACTGCGACATCCACGCTGACAGTTTCGCAAGAGGGTGGGTGGGAGAGGGGTGCGAAGAGATTTTTTCTTAAATAAAAGTTCGCATTACGTATTTCTTAAACGTCGAATGAGCGCTTCTTGTCGAAGATGGGGATGGGGGGGGGGGGAAATTAATTTTCTTATCTATTTAATTTGATAAACTATTTTCCACGTTAGAATACTCAAGACCCGTCGAAAACGTCTCGTTGCTCGTTTAAATGCTCAGCGAATGTTTTTGTTTGTGCATGGTGTAATCTCAATACCATAAATTTATTCTTCCATATCTTAAGGAAACAGTGTTTCGTGAACTGGGGATTCTTGCGAGGTAGTAATCGTTGGAACCAGCAAAAGACCTTTTATTTGCAGTAGTACGCAATGACAGTCTTCCTGCCAACATGAGATTGCAGACCGTTCTTTGATTCACACCATGCACGAATAAAACTGATCATAGAAATCGAATGATCGTTGTATTCGACGTATAATCGGAATCTGAAACTCTTTCCATTGACAATCAACTGCCTGTAATTAGATCTACGGTGACCGGAAGCGAAGCAAGTCACGGAGGATCCTGCGCATTCCATTTAAAACGTTCAAAGTCTATGTAAATTCAAGAACTCTTCTGTCCTTTCATGCATATTTATGACAGTATTCCCGCGAAAGTGTGGACGTTCGAGTTTTTATGATTAAATTCCAACGGAGGACAGGGGGGAATAGAAATCGATGGTGTCATCGATGACGAGACGTAAATTCAATTGGCATTAACAATGGCAGCGCGTTGCTAGAAAAGAATATTTTCCGAGTAGTCATACTTCTAAAATTAGAAATCCGAGCAGCACATACCTGCACCATTCTTACTATAAACGTGTAATCGCAGAAGGTTAGATCCTGAGCTATTCGCTGTCAAAGAAATGACGCTGTCACTGCGAAGAGTTTCAGGTCCGGCTTGATCGGAGACAGAAGCACCTATGAGATTTCAAGAGATGCAATGCCGTGTGAGCAACGTTTTGTCAGTTCGAATTGCCTCTGTGGCACTCGAAGCCAGCTCAGCCACTTGTGGAAGCAAAAACCACCTCGGATCTGGCATAGTTTTAGCCTTAAACGTCCCGGAGTAAGGTTGCACGTGGCTCGCGAGTAAAAGCGACGCAATCGAAGCTGACGAAAGCGTTGGAGTCCGATAGATATACGTGTACATGTGTATAAAAACGATTTGATACTGCAGACAGGGGGAAAAGATTGCCAAGTAGCGAGAAACGTTGAATTTGTAACTGTGATATGCGTTACTAAAGGCTCTAGGCAGTATACCGTTCAGAGATAGAAAGAAAATGAGAGAGAGGGAGTGAGAGTAAGAGAGAGAGAGAGAGAGAGAGAGAGAGAGAATTTCCTTTCCTCTGTTGTCCTTTTTAAGGAATAGAGATATACCGATTAAATCGTAAACGTGTAATACCAGGAGTGTACATAGGCGTTTTTAGCGACTGAGTTAAGCTTATACGTTTCTTTCCTTTTCTTCTTTTCTTCATTTCTGGCCAACGTGGCCAGCGACTAGTTCAAAAGATGTCCGAGTGTAATTGGAACGCGTGCTTGATCGTTTCGCCTAACTTTCACGATCGTGGTGTCGTGTTCTATGCAGGAAGGAGCCAAAATAGTAACTTCCTTGGACCCCGGTACCGAGGTCTCGTTCGTTCTTAGATCGTTAAAACTACGAGAACCAGTCTTCTTTTTTCCTCTCGCGCAAAGGAGAAATTAATTTTATTCCAACGAGAGTTTCCAGGCTCGTACTTTTCATGATTTAAGAAGCAATCGGGGTCCGAGCAGCGTGTAAATAGCAATGGATCATTTCTTCCTGCATAGCACCCAATTGTATGATCGAAATGGGAAACATCGCGATTGTCATAATTAACCAACTGCTCCCTATTTTCCGAATCTACTCTAAAGTTACTATTTTTTTAAAAAACCGATGAATGACAGCACGAAGAAACCGTAGAATGACAGTGTTTCCCATTTCTATTGCACGTTGAACTTCTCTTGCCTAATCGACAGCGTCTCGATATAATTCAATTACGTCGCGTGCCCAGTGTGCACGAAGATAACAGAAGCGGCCCGCGAATGCATCGCGATTAACGAAAGTTCTGTCAAAGTGAGATAACTCGCGTTCCAAGACCAGGCGAGATAGGCTCTCTAATTTATTCCTCGGAAGTCAACCCGATTCCTAACCTCTGTTGACCCAATGTTCCAAGGATGCGTGTCCACGGTGTCTGTGCTTGCGTCATGGCTACCGTCGTGGATCGTGAAAATGTTCGATACATCACAAATAAAACGTAAATGACGAGATCCAGGATTTCTTTCATTTACACGGTCAAAATATCGTCAATATTGCGATCGCATAGCTAAAGTTAGGGAAGGCAGCCTCGGTCGAGGTTGCATTTTTACACCAAGTAATGCACGAATCGGTATAGATTGCTGTCACACGAAATAGATATATTTACAGGTAGATTATAGATGATGACCTGGGTGCTTACCCGGGTTCACGGATCTATACCCAGTTGTGCATTAGGGAGTCTCGCAGCCGAGCCTCCAGTCCGTCGAAAATGTTAAATACGTCAGAGTCAGTCAATTTATTGGGTTGACACGGAAAGTTCGTAGCGAGACTTAAGAAAAATCGAAAACCACGTGTATTCGTAAAATTAGTATATCATAGAGACTGTTTCAGCTGAGAAAGGCTCCTTAAATATCTCCTTCTATTTTAATATCGTGAAAAATATTTATTACGCGATTTAACACTTTGTTGATTGGTCATTTTATACAGAAACTATGTCATGTCACCGATTAGTATTTTGTAATCCAATCTTCAAAATCATTTTCACACGCAATATTCTATATCGTCCTGGGTTTCATAAATTGAAATAGGTAATGCAAGTGCAATGACGAGTTAACTCGTCATCGGTCAACAACGTTTAGACAGGAAAAGACGAGTTAACTCGTCACCGGTCAACAATGTGTTAACTGGCTTTAAAGAAGAAATACTATGAAAGAAAAATGTTTTTTGAAAGAATTTTTATATTCATTTTTGTTTATATCTAAGGTCACCTGAAGTCGTGGTTCTTTAAGGTGGTCGTGAACCCCAAAGTTGTGGCTTTGGACATAATCAAATGTATTTTTTCACCTACTATGAAATGCAATGCAAGAAAACCCTCTTATTTCGATCTTTCGAAGAAATATCTTGTCTTTTGAAGTCATTTAAATCGTGTTGTAAACATAGTCATTAAAAACGAAGGAGATATTTGTGGCTTCCTCCAACAGGCACACTCTATATTTTGAAGACATTTTGCCATCTATCTAATAGCGTCACGAGTCCATTTTGGAAAAACTATTTGCCTTTTTCAGCAGTGCATTTTCTCCAAGTCTTCAGATAATTCAATTCTGCGCCATTAAACAAATCTCGAATAAGAATAAAGACCAGAATAAACAATAGTGGGACTACGTTGCGTCCATTATACGTGGAGTTGAACGTGCCCAACTGAAGTCCAACGTTGCCTTATGGAAAACTGCATCTTTCTTACAGTAACTAAATCTTTACGTTTCCTCTGAGATCCTTAGCTCATAAGATCAAATAATTCTCGCGAAATTTCAACTGGAAATTTCGATAAATTGTATTACATACGCGTAATACTACGATATCGATGTATCTGACACGCTAGAACAGCGATGTGCCTGATTTACCTATTAAAGAAACGACAAGTCAATGGATTAATTCCTACATTAAATATTAAGGCAAGGAAAGAAAAATATTTGTTCAAGTCTAGCATGTTGTCACTCATGACACAAGTCCATAGTAATTTTACATCGCCACGAACTTTTCGAACAGCCCGACACTACTAGGTACCTAAGATTCGTCATGAATTTTACCGTACTGATTATTCAATGCTTAAAAACCTGCTTAGATCTCTCGAATTTTCACAAGTACCGTTCTCAAGCTGCCTCCAGCGGCCCACATACCATGTCGACCGAATCTCTTAACGATCGAACACGTGTAGTTCGATGAATTCGAGTGTAAATCCGCTTTGGGGGACCCAGGACTCGCTCTTGCCAGCGAATCGTGAGAAACGACCGATTCGTGTTCCGATAAACGAATCACTCGGGTGTCCTGTCGATCCGCAGGTGTCTACAGGTGAACAGGAACGCTATGGCCGATCGAGGAAGGAACAAAGACGTCCAGGGCGTGTTCGGTTGAACGCATCGCGTGCCGAGATCGAGGAAAGTAGCAAGACGATTCCGGCTTTCTAGCAGTTTCAGTTTTCGATAGACCGGATCGCGAAACCTCGTGAATATTCAAGAGCGCGAGCGGAAAGCAAGAGCATCGGAATCGGTATTTTTACGGCGCGATTAAACTCTTCAGGGACGAATTTATTAAGACCAGAAAATGATAACTAGTTTTTTATTTTTCTGAGAAAAAGTAACCGCACGCATACGTGACCGGCGGCCATTAACCCCTTGTCTTACAATATCGTGCGAGGCTCGTGATATGGTTTATTTACAGACTAAACGTGGAAAACACGAGTCGTGCCTCGTGCTATGTGTCCAATCATTGACTGTCAACTTTTCTCCAAAATTTGATTATTTTGTGGATTTTAATTGCTTTTCGATAGAGTTAATTAAAAATAATTTATATATATATATGTATATATCACGTGTAGTAAATGTTATATGTAATTAATATATAATATGTATTATACAGGGTGAGTCGCATAATTTGTCTGAAAAAAATAATAGTTCGGTGAAAAAATATTTTAGATCAAAATTGCATGATCTTTTTATAGAATTTATTTGTTCGTGAGATGTTAAGGTGACCTTGAATTTTTATACCTTTCCGTGTGAATATTTTGAATAATAATCGTGGACAAATTATGCGACTCACCCTGTATATATGAGCCATTCACTGCACAAATCGCTTAACTCCACTTTTTGAAAAATCCTAAATATAAAAAGTTATAACTATACCAAGTGTTTTGACAGTACTTTTTAAATTTAAGATTTTTCAAAAAGAGGAGTTAATCGATTTGTGCAATAAACGGCTCGCATAAGCATCCACGATCTGAAAACAGGCTAATATTTCATAAGGAATCATATCAGAGAAATGTTCGTGCAAAAGTTGTTCGATATAAAGGTGCGTACACAATATTTTTCTTTGTATCTCGAGTAGCGGGAGAAATTTCGAAGTCAAATTTCCTAAATAAAACTGTCTATATATTTTTCTCGTGATATATTGTAACTTTGTCTCGACAAATTCAACGTTTCTCTTATATAATATCGTTTAATCGAAACAAAGTAATTATTACCTTTAAACAATCAGATAAAATTGATTCGTGAGTTGACGCCTATTCGGTGAGAAAAATAATATGTACTGCACGATATTCGTATCAAGCCACTCTCGTGAAAACATATTATTAACAGATACGACTCCTTATGAAATATTCCACTGTTCCCAAGGAAACACCCTTGCACGCGTTTCTTTTCGCGTAAATAAAAGTTCTAATTCCGGAATCGCAATCAACGTTCTGAAATTAGCGTAGATTTCTTTTTATCTGAATGGAGACTAAATGGAGACCATAGCAGCTAATGGGGTTAGGGCGTGTGCAGGCACATACGCATTGTCTGTAGATAGTCGCGTGTCTTATACTAAGCGTCGCATATGCGGTATAATATAGCGTATTATGCGTTGCGTATTCGAGCTGTACAGAATTTCACCGACTGTCCGCGGACAATGTAAGTTCGTGCACGCTTTCACGGTTCAAAGTAAACAAATACCGGCGGTACTCGTGGTCTACTTGTAGACCCAGCCAATAAAAGCTAAACGGTTGTTTGTCCTAGCGCATAAGAGACATGTCACTCGCCACGCTGCTCGAGATCGTAAATAAAACTGTAAGGCAAAGGGGTTAAGGCCGATTATTCGTGAAAGGATTTTGATACACTCGCGAGTATTTATTCGCGACAATGTTCGTAGTAATAACACGGAATTTTGAATGAAAGAAGAAAGACTAAACCTGTAAACATGTGCCAGTATCCCTCAAGAGACGAAGCTTATCACCTGACCGCCCCTCGCTGTTGAAACGACGAAGAAAAATCTATCAGCCGCTTATTTCGGCTTCTCTTGGCTGTTTATTTGTGATTATCGAAAGAACCTTCGGCTCGACCTTGTAATTCTAATTAGTTTTTAACCAGCACCCACTGCTGTTCATTTGTGATCGTAGCGTTATTATTTTTACAGCTGCCTTGTGATTAATTGAACCTTCGATTGTATTAAATGTGCCGATTAATTATATTTTGTATACTGATTTCATCGTGACTTTATTTATTTTTTCCCTCAACTATCGTCTCTTATTTTTGTACACGGTTAAACGGGGGCTTAAACTGCGAGAAGCGAGTAGGAATAGACGGATAAGAATCAGTGGTATCGTACGATTAGTTAAAATATCGAATTCCGTTAAGAAAGCCTTATACGTTGCATTCTGGGACCGCTTGTTGCGCAATCTCGTGCCAGTCGTGTCGGTTCGGCGCGCGCAGCGCCATCTGTCCCCGCAGAAACGCGCCAGCAACACGATTTAATTGACTCGCCCGAGGTATCGTGGCACAGGTCTCTGTTCGATACAATTAAACGGAATCGGGTTGACGATCGTTTCTCGAAAAGGCCGATGAAAGTTTTATTGCGCAATTGTTTGGCACGTATGGGAAGTTCGAGTTGCGGTTAAAAGAAATAATCAGTGGTCGGTGGAATGTCGACTCGATGGTTCTTTCGTTAGGGACACTTTTCAGAAGTGACAGCAGTAGCTGATTGAGCGTATGGTTCAAGTTTGCAGTTGATTTATAGCTGTTTCTTCTTGAGAAACGAAATAGATGTGTCTAGAGGTTTGAATGACTATATAATTTATTTTTAAACGAAGGTTATTCGAAACGTGTGTAATTTACCATCTATGTTATCCTACAGGAGTGTATCAAAAGGAAGACATTGGTTTTAGCGTAATAATTAATTGAGCATATTGTTCAATTTTGAAATTAATATATATATCTCGTTTTTGAAAAATGAAATAGGAATATGTAACAATTTTGGTGATTACTTCGCTTATTTCTAAGGGAAAATTACTAAAAATCTATGTAATCTGCCTTCTATTTTGTTCTACCGTACTGGGGAGAAAGGAAAATGTTCACTTTTCTATAGCACTTGTATCAGCATACTGATTAATCCTGCAAATTAATTTATAGGCTGCCCCCTTTTAAGGAATAAAATAGAAATGGCTAGAAGTATATTTCTTAATAAAGATTACTGAAACCATATGCAATGTAATTTCCATTTTGTCCTACTTTAATGTATCGAAAGGATACAAATCTTCGTGTAAGCAATAGCAGGTTTGGAAAAGTGAGATACCTCTTTCAATACTAATCCTTTGGCATAAAGGTTCTTTTCTACACGAAAAGTGCAAAAAACCCAAGAAAGCAATAGATATTTAAGAACATCCTGTGAATAAGACAAGACTATTTTTAAGAAACCTAATTCTCCTAGGTTCACATCAGGAACTAGGTTCAGACTGATTTATCTAAAAGAGACAAACCTTTCAACGATATGAATTAAATTGAAAATGCTGTAAAACGATACGAAGTCTGTGTACAATTTTCTGTAATTGAGGAGTACAATAAATTTAAAAAGTCTGAAACGTACATCAAGAAGTATCACGTCTTGTTCTACCTACTTACGTCTAAATAAATACATTATGTCCAAGATTTGCATGTATGAATCCGAAACCTGGGTATTATCATAAATTCTGAATAAACAGGTAAATTTATGTTTACTCAATTTATATACTTAGTGACACTTATGGTTACTTGCTATTCCTACATTATGTAATTTCCAGTAAAATTATCTAGTAAAATCAGTCATTGGTAAAATTACAAATGATTTACTATCAATCACTGAAGCTATTACCAAAATCAATTTCACTGGCAGTTCATTTTATACTTTCCTAATCAAAACGTTTATTAATACACCTAACTCTTGATACACTTTAGAAACCATCTTCACTCGACTTTTCTCAATTTCAAGCGAGATTTATCAAACTTGTCTAAAATCTCTGGAAACTTTCATCGAATTTTAATTACCATATTACAATCCCATAGTCTAAAAACGCAGTTGCACAGGCAATTACAGGTGCAGCAACTCGATGCACCAGCTCCAGAAGAAGGTGGGGTAGCGCAGGCGTGAAAGTCTTCGGTTTCACTTGTCTTCCAAGAGATCTACCTGTCGGTAGTAGGAGAGGAAAACAGTGAACCTCATGGTTCGAGGCTGGCCGAACGGATCCAGAAGGGAAATCGTGCTCGCGCCGCGCACAATGCGCCTCCTCGACCGACCGGAAACGGACAAGCTCGCTGTCATTGCGAACGCGTCTCGAACGAACGAGATTTGAAGCCTCGCGTCACCAAGTGTGATTTTTACGGTGCTCTTCACGTGTGAAAACAAAACGAACTTTATTTTCATCTCGACAGTGCGAAACTTCAATTCGAATCGTCATTCTTGACTCAAAATAATCGAATTTGTACTCCAGAAGACAGATATACAGCAAAAATTTTGTCCCGTTTGACTTAATCTTCTGTTTCATTTAATCCTGGGCTTCCAAAACTGTGGCAACCTTGCTTTGATTCTGGTAAAAAAAATTATTTACAACTCGGTGCTTGGGGAATACAGTGTCAACGCAGAAGATGACACAAATCTAACGATTCGTTCGCAAAATTTGGCATTAAAAGGAAGCTTTGAGTTTTCTATAAAGGGATATAAAGCGTTTTGATACAAAGTTTCTCGTGGAAATTTCGCGAGGAAGATTGCATTTCATAACGGAGCTGAAACGAAGGTTCAAGGGAAACAAGGGGAAGATGAAGATGCCAGCAGAGTCATCGATATACTGGGACTCGGTCGGTTCCCAGCACTCCGCTTCCGTTGGCAGCTCTGGAGACGCTTGCAGCTCCGGAAGTGCCAGCAGACACTACGTCGATCCGTGGGACCTCGAGAACTATGCATACCTGCGTCGTCATAGCGTCGCTGGCCTGGCGCAACAGACGCCGCGACACCACCGACGCCCCGCCTACCGGCTGTCCCAGGAGACACGTGCACACTCTGAATATTGGTGAGTGGTCGTGACCAAATTTCGAGGCCAAATTGGCACCTTGATTAGCCAAATCCGGTTAGATCTTAATATATTATACTACGCAATTATTACAAAAATATTTCTAAAAATATCCTTCGTCGACATAACCAAAAAAATTTCTGAAAAGAAAAAGAAGAATCGAGTTCGGAATAATATTTACAATATTTCGTAATATTCTTATAATGTTATTATATATACGTGTAATTGTAGGTTAGATTAGAAAAGTACCTAGACGAGGTCTAGGGGAAAATCTGATTACGCAAAAGTACATGGTCGAGGTTATCCAATTAGATTATAATCATGGTCAATAAGCAGTCATAGGGTCAACAGCACACGGAGAATGTTTAAGTAGCTGTTTGTTGAGACACTGACCATACCCAACGCAGTTTAACTTGTTAGGTAGTTCAACGAGAACTAGCGCCTTCTGCGTGGTGGCGTTGTTGACTACTGCAACAGCGGAATTAAGGATTCGTGCATCTTTGCGTCAATATGCACACTGTTTAGAGATCTGAATTAAAATTTAAATAACAGATACGGATATTTTAATACTCGTATTACGACACTCGTATTTATAGTCGATTGTCTAGCAACTGATTCGAGAGGATTGGTGTCGTTTCGCAATATTAAACTAGGAATGTTAATCAAGCAGCAAGGCTGGTAATTCAAATCTAATGACTCTGATTAATCGACCGAGAAGACTGGCAGTTAAGCTTAATAAGCAGTTGATACTTGAACTTACAAGTGAAGTTGCTTATCGATCAAACGAATCTCGTTGAATTAAATGATCCAAATATAACAATCAAACTTTCTTATTTTTACGACGATTTAAAAATCAGTGAAATTTTCCGAACTTTCGGCATTGTTTCATTTTTTACGATAGATTGTTATAGAAAAATTGAAGGGAAATTTCGAGTTAACGACTTCGTTAATCACGTTCAAGTTTTCGATACGAAACGCCTAATCATCGATCCCTCGAAGGGGTTACACAAGCGAACTTGCGCTGTTTACAAGCGTGATATCCTTTCGTCTTTTTTTCGTTCACAGTCTGTTTAACCCAATACATATTTCCATGCTTTGTAATTTGCTTTGAGAAAGATCGTATCAGTGGGTACGAAGTAGGGCTTTGTGTTCTTGAGCATTGCTCTCTCGTGGTAATATTTATTAAACTTCGCGCACCTTCACTCGACGGACCAAGGAAACACGGTTCTCGAAATACCTTTTATTTCACCTTCTTTCTTTCTTTTTTTTTTTAAATACCCACACAAAAAATTCGTGAGAACTACGAATAACAGAAACTGTAAAAAAATAAAAATTCGGCGAGCAATTATGTTAACTAATTTAAAGCAAAGAGAGTTAAATTATTAGTGCAAAATTAAGAGAATAATTATGGTTGATTGAAATCAGAATTGGAAAATTAATAATATTATATTAGATTTGGTTCCTCGGAAGGTTACTCGTGAAATTTGAGAAAATTTGAATTTATTTTTACTTATGTACATCGAATTGATATTTTGTCAAATAATATAATAACGCTTATATTTATAGAATTTTGTTTAGGGGTTAAAATATTTCAGAAACATTTATTACTTGTTTACTTTGGCTAAAATTATACTAACATACCCGATTCATTATTATTCAAGAAAATTGTGCAGTAGAGTAGATAAATCGGAATTACCAAGCATTTCTTAATCACGAATTTTGAATATTTTTTCTTAATCGCTGCATTTGACGGTTTAATTGGTCTTGCATAGTGCACAACAAAACGTAATACTGATTATGCAATAAAACTTAACATGTTCATCACTGATCGAATTTTCATTACGTTATATTCAAAGATACCATTTTTATATACCACGCAACGTGTATTATTTATGAATTATTATATAATTTTCTCCCCCATTTCGAAACCTTTAATTTAATTTTTTGGACAACTAAATAATTCATAAATAATATTTTGAAGGAATTCCGAGGACCTGTATAACTTTCAAAAGGAATAGAAATATAGGAATGCCTATATTAGGTATATATTAGGTACTTATCTAGATACATATAGTAGGCACGAAAAGATACCATACGAAAATTGAAAGAATTTATTAAAATTCCAATGAAATTGAATTATCCTGGTGCTCAAGGGAAGGAAAAGGAGAGAAAGACAAAAGACACGTGTGGAAAAATTGCGCAACTAGAAGTTCCAGCCAGCACGAGACACAGTTACAAGGCAATTTAATTGCCGGAAAGAGACACTTCCTTTAATCGTAATAGGCATCCATCAGCGATCCAACGTGGTGCATTGAACCCCGTAACGCCGTTTAAATCGATCATTCGGATCGAGCGTGGTGAAAGGCGAAATCCATAGAGTCGTTTCGCGTCGCCAGCTAATTTGATGAAAAAACACCCTAAGCTACCAATAGACGTAAGATTGCTGACGGTACGAAGTGTAACTTGCCTTTAAATGGCCATCTCTGAGTGTTGATTTAAGGATTAACGAACTGACGAATATCGTGTAACTAGATTTACAAATAGGTGTACAGGCAGTTTTATATTTTGATTTTAACCTGTTCCAGATTAAGAATGTATCCGCTTTCTTTAATTTAATTCAGAAATTCGTCTAATTACAGAATTTCTTAGTTTGAAAATTAATCACTGTCGTTTGGCTAGAAACGCAGCGACCGAAAGATAACCTCAAAATGTCTGTCTAAATTGTGCTTGGTGTGCTACCTTCTGATGTTATTTATTAAACGATTCAATTTTAATAAACTTTCACCCAAATACATCAACATCCAAAGTAATTAGAAAATCGTACAAGCTTCTGGAAATGACCAGAAGTGCAGCGACCGAAAGATAACCTCAAAATATTTAAGCGATCTGGTGTTACTTATTAAACGATTCAATTTTAATAAACTTTCTCCCAAATACATCAACATTCAAAGTGATTAGAAGATCGTACAAATCTCTAAAAATGAAAGTGGTGTAAACCATGAAAGTTAGGAGAGTACCTTGTTGTTGAATAGTATGATTTAATCGTCCTCCATGATGAGATTAAACCGACTCCTCTCATAGTATAATACAGGAGATAATTAAAAAATTGCACAAATTTGTATTTTGTTTTTGACTATAAGTTATTACCTAGTTATTAGTTTATTTAGATTTACTACTTAAGTATAAAAAATTATTTTAGAAAATAATAGAATCGTTGCAAATTATTTAAGATAATACGTTTTCACGTTTGAGGTTAGAAACAGTAATTTAGCATGTAAATGGCAAAAGGAGTTGACAAACGTTGCAGGTACACGTCGTCGGTGAAAGAGCCTGGCTACGACGCGCCTGCTTTCGTGGAAGAATTGTATTGTGGACCAGCCAGACCGACGAACAATAGTTGCTACTATCATCAGCCAATCTATGAGGACGAGGTACCGGATTACGTCGCCCCGTTTCCGGTCTACGCGCCTCTCTCTGGTAAGATTAATTGCTTTTTCCCTGACGGTCCTCACCACCCATCGAATCGGGGCCTCTAAAGTGAATTGGAGACGGAAACAACAGAAATTGTTCTCAAGAGAAAAGTTACCTTATTTTGTGAAGTATTTCTTTGGTAGATTAGCTACTTTGACAGTGGAAGTATTTTGATAAATAACTTGCTCGTGATCAGTCATATAGTCAATTTTCAGATCAACAGATCTTAAACAGATAACTTATTTTGGTAAGTTAGTTCTGTGGAACTTAATACACTTTGATAGATATTCCATCGTTGATTCAATTTATGATCAATTATAATCAGTTATATAGTGAATTCTGTGATCAACTTTGACAGGTAGCTTATTTTAGTAAAAGTTAGTTCTGTAGAACCTAATGAGCTTTGATAAATATTCCACTGTTAATTCAATTTCTGAAGAGTAATTTTTGATATGTCATTCTTTGACAGATAGTTTGTCTACTGGTTACTTCAGAATGTAAGTAATTTAATTGCATAGCTAATTCTGTGGTGTATGAGTAGGATGACTTTGATATATAGTTTATTGAAAGATGGTTCATTATGGTACGTACCACTTTTGTCCTAAACAATTTTTATACCTAATTTAGTTTTTGTACTATCATCGTTACTCTAGTTTAACAACTATCCATTATGTAGTTCATTTTCTCTCATAGGATAGTCCATATCTAGTCCATTTTAATACTGCTGAATAAATGCTGAATACCAGTCCTTAGTAGCTGGAACAGTTCTCTGACTTATATGTTATATTGCTTCAATAACTGGTTCTATGATAGATAATTCCCTAGTGATTATCTATCTCATGTTAGTCTATTGTTGAACATGAAAGGTCTTACTATGATTATACGATTAAAAACAAATGATACTTCTCAAAGATAGGCTTGACGTTAAATCACTTTTAATAATCTATGATCTCTGAGCATTCAGATTCCTTTGTGCCTTATTTCAGGTAATACTGCACTCTATGTTTAATACATTCACATACTATTTTAATATTTTCAGCAATGAGAATATTCAACATTAACACTGCATTAGAATCAGGCCTCTAACAAGTCTTGCACAAGGTATGTTCTACTTTGATTTGAACCTTGAAAACAGAAGTTCTAGGCCCACAATCACGCCTATAATTATACCAACCCGACATACACGATTAGAAAACCGTGATACCGATTTTCACTCGCTTTCACCAGTCGATATTTAGCTCAACGTATTTTCCGGGTATACCGTTTATTTTTTTCTGCTGTGAAATTGGAAACATGTCTCACAGGAAGATAAACATCTTGAAACACTTTAGATATGCATTAAATTCCTCTCAAGACTCTAGAATTATAAATCAAATAAACAAAATGATTTGTATCATCATTTCCTGTAGATTTCTCCTGGCCCAACTTTCAAGCTTATCCAAATAATATCACTATATCATTATTATACATTCGTTACATCTCACCAATTAAATTAGTAATTTCTAATCATTTTAATAATTACATGCCAGTTGCACTCTGTCCTCTAATCTTACAAATCATGTTCCTATCACAGGAAGTTTTATTCTAACCTAATACGTCATATTGAAAATTCCTATGTAACTTCGATTTACCCTTACGTCTGTATTAATGATGTAACTGTAACGTCAAACCTAAATAAGCTACCTAACCTAAAGAATCTCTCTTCCTTGAAGTTGTTAAAAATTAGGAACACACGTAACTCAGGCTATACTTAACTCTAAGTAAAGCCAGAGATCGCGTGATTGAAAACCACAGGTCGTGGTCGGGTGCGTTTTCTCTTCACCGATCTCGGTCCGTTAATTGATATTCCTGCACGCAGCAACTTGGTTACGAATCGAAGAGGTTATGTAACTGGTGCATTGCAATGGCGCTGCACGTGCCGATGCGTTTGATTAAAGAACGCACTTCCGTTTCGGGTCTGGTTCAAGAATTCCATTAATGGTCAAGTAACGAGGAACTGGACCTTGCCGATGGCACCAAACGAACCGTTTCTTCCTTCAAACGGTGCGAGTCCATTTTCCTATTTAGCCTGCATTTTAACCTACTTAAGGATACTAACAATATCCATCGTTAAATTAATTTTATACTTAACCATAATACTGTTACACAATTTATTATCATATCTATAATTATTGTGGTCAATTAATATATCTTTTTTGCAAATATATAATTACATTAATATATTTTTCAGTCTAAACGTGTGATAAACAGTGTTATTGTTTCAAGCGAATGAAATAAAATCTAGTAAAATATCAGTGCATCGGAATGTTCTATTATTTTAGAACATAATGCATTCGGTCACGAGTGATTGTAACAGTTCATTGAAATCTTTCGCATGGTTACACAGCTTGGGTGTGTCTTGAAAGTGACTGGTAGAAATGGAATTGATTATAAGCGACTGAACGGTAAAAGGGAATCGTAAATTTTCTAATCGAAAGTTTTATTACGTGAAATCTTTGCAACGTAAGGTTTTTTGCTGCACTCGAAAAATTATAGGTTAGAAAAAAACGATTTTCAACCTTGTCCTGAATAACAATGGATTCACGAATATAAATACACATTGTAAACGCAAAAACAAATTTTCGTAGTTTATTATATCTATCCAAATTTTATATTACTGTTTAAGGAAATAAATATTTTTGTATTTCCTTAAATATGTACCATGATTCAAAAGTCTCGGATCCATTTTTATTTCTATTCCCTGTGTAACCATAATAGCGTTAACTTAACCTAGATACGAGAAATCTTCGACTTCACCTATGATCCAAAAAATCGATACAACTTTAAACGATTTCCACGAATTTCACGAAGGAGATATTAAATAATCGGTACATTTTACCAAATTAATTAATATTCTTATAGCAACCTATTTTTAATTATGGTATTCGTGTTATATATTATTTAAAAATATTTTTCTATTTATGTCTATATTTCTTGCATCGAAATTTAATAGGACTTACCGAATTGGACATCATTTATTGACGACTATTGACTAGTAACCTCCTACACCGATGTTGGAAAAGTGATAAAGGCAATTGAAATGAATTAATCGATTTCACTGCAGTAGAACGATTGCCAATACAAAAGCCTGTCGTAAGAATATTGCCGAGGTTCGTCACACGTTGCAATAACTCGAACACGATTTCTATCGTGTCCTAGAAAGTCCCTATCGCCTCGTTGGATCATCACACGCAGCGCTAGTGTCGCGAGCGTCCTCGCACGACTTCGACACGTAATTATCATCATTTTTCAGCGGCTTTCGAACGCCTCTGCTTTCACCTGCGAACAAAATAGATTCTCGATACAACGACAACTTCATTCGGGCAACTTCGACCGCGAAATGAAGGCCAGTGGAAATGACAGTCATCGAAAAGTTACATCGAATCTAATCTTCGCTATTGCCAATATAGGGAAAATGATTGAAGAATGTTTTCCTTTTTATTCCTCACGTCCATAGCGTGCTTGTTTGTAATTCTCTTCGTTGTTTTCTTCCTTCGTATAATTAACGCTAGCTTAAATTGGATAAGAAAGTAAGTTACTGTTCCCTAACCTTAAAAAGTTCAAAAAAAAGTTCAAAATGAGAAAAAATACCAATGAAATTTTAGGAAATTTCTCAGATAATATTCTAATTCTGTCAAATGACATATGCATCCATTGTTTCCGCCATTTTGATCATTTATTCAATAACGTTATGGACCTTTGTTTATAACATTTCTTTTCTTTTTCGACGATAAATTTTTCTATGCTATTTCTTGCAAGTTTCTAGTCTATTAGTAATAATAATATTGAATTCTCAATATTAATACTTATTCTAGACTAACCGCACATTCTTTCGAATATCTCAAATATTAGTAAACAATATAGAAAAATTAATAAATTTTATTTTTATACTTGTGACATTTTATTGTATTATTATTCTTCTTCTTCTTCTTATTATTATTGTCTATATTATTATTATTATTATTATTATTATTATCATCATCATCATTATCATCATCACTATTATTATTGTCGTTGTTGTTGTTGTTATTATTATTATTATTTATCTTAACACTTCGCATAAATGACTATTATAAGTATTTTTTTTTTTAAATAGGTAAAGTAAATACAGCGGTAGAATATATTTGCATGCAAAATAGACGCGAATCACAGTTTTAATTTAGCACGTATCATGATATAATGACAGCACTCTATACATTTCACAGGAGAATTTAGCAATCAAAATATATAAATATTCTGTCATTCATTCAACTTCATAAAGGGAAATTTAAATGGAACTTCTAACTTCATTTTCTCATCTTCGCCAGTTACTCTTACTCGCTCTCTTCTACCATCCATCAGTTCGATCCTACTTTCCTACATCGTCGGAAAATCGTACAATTTCCTCTGAAAAATGTTCCCAATTCGATGTTAATTCCTCGGCTTTCTAAATAATTCCGTAACACGCGTGTCCAACCTGCCAAATCGACGTCTGTCATCAAACAACTAGCCTCTCGGGAATAGACAGGGAAGAAACTCTCCTCTCTCCAGAGTCTGAACCATTCGCTTAAAAAATTCCAGAAAAAGGCAGCAAACTCTCTCAGCCGAGCCAGTGATCGTCTGAACGAAATTGCACGTGTCATCGTGAGCGATTTCCACGTCCTCGTTCCGAATCCCGCGACCCTGCGAGCCCGTCGCGAGGAAAAGCAGACGAAGGCGTTGGTGGGCGTCGAATCTGCCTGTTCGATTGCCAGCGGATTAAAGTCAAGCCTATTAAACGCGAAGACCTCCACGTAACTGGTCGTTAATCAGCGGGATTACCCGATCGAACCAACGGGACCAGTATACCTGACGATGAGCGATCTGCAGCTAGTTTCCCTGGAAAATAAGCCTCCATTCCTAGAACACGTAACCAAGTGGAACTTTTTCACGGTATCATACGGGCCACGACTTGGCAAGGTCGTAAATTAATACTTTTAGCCGGGATTATGTCATGAGACCTCGGACCAGGTGAACCTACCCACCGATTAATCCCTCCGGGGGATTAAAAATTCAGGGATCGGACCTGAGACCTTCATTTTCATTATAGAGAATGTTTTATACTCTTTTAGAAATAAATATCTAATGAAAGTACAACGAGAGGAAATTTTTTGGCCATCGGAGTAACTTCGAGGAATTTAAGGCTTAATTTCGAGCGATTTTGAGAAATTATCTCGATTGTGTTAATTCTTCGTGAATGGGTCTGTGTTTGTATAAAAATGTACTTTGGATTGACTAAGTTTCGTTTAAGAAATTTAATGTGAGGGTAAAATAAGTTGCTGTGGTGAAAATTTGTACCAGAGTTTGGAATTCGTGTTGGTAGTCTGTTTATACACAGACAGACAGCCATAATGGGTTAATGTATTAGGCTCGGAGCAGATGAAAGACGTGATGTTGCGATTTCGCATGGGTGACATTGTGTAATTGAGTAATGGTGGGGTTGCATATTCGTGAGAGAAATTGCAAGTATATGAGAGCTGTACAGAGAGATTGCTATAGCAATACCGTCACAAAAACACCGTAGAGGGAACGCTGAATTTGTGTGTGTATACATATGCACGATTTGTCAACCCGACGATATTTTACGCGGTTTATTAAATTATGGCAACGACCCGCTGACAAATTACATATATTGTACAGTATTCTCCACGTATATGACCGCAGTACTGTTTATCGCGGCCATATAACCGGGGACACTTACAAAATGGTTATTTTTATTATTAATCCATTTTTTAACTTTTTTTATATCATGGTTCATATTATTACGTCACTTTATAGTTATTATGTTACTTATTAGTTACTATAAGTATCGTTATTTCTTATAATGCACTTTTAAATTCCTAAATTCATTTATTTAAAAAATAATAAATTTACTTCCAAATAAAATTGAAAGCAATATATTTATAAATATCGGAAACAGACGGATTGATTTCTAATATTACTTTAAAAATTAAACTGTAACGGGAAGTTCACAGCAATTAGAAATTTGAACGCACTGCAAATCGATTAGAATTCTAGCGAGTAGTATCAGCAGAAAAACGATCGAGACTAATGAATTGGAAAGTTATGCTGTTTCATAATGTTAATAAACGGACACATTAGAAACGGTATTAGGTAAACTGGAACCGTACAATTTGTTATTATTACACCACCGAATCTATTTTTCCGAATTTACATTGACAAATTATCGTTTCTTCTCATCGTTACTATTGGGATTATGGGTAAAAAGAAATAACTATCTTTATTTTACAATTTTCTTTATTCTATCCTAAGCAAGGTATATCTTAAGTATTCTGACTGTTCGCATGGAGAGTCAAAATTAGAGTGAAGAAAAAGGGTATGCGAATGCAGCTCGTCCTGGTCCCCTAATTTTTAGTAACCCTAACTCCCCTAACTCTTAGCGTGAAGTGTTTTCTTCACGAAACCTCTTCTGCGAATAGATCAGAGATATATCTATTTCCCTAAGAGACTGATTTTTGTATATATGTTAAGACGTATCTTATGTTCAACAATTACAATAATTTGTAAACAGTAAAAGATGCAATACCGCGAAGAAGCTATAAATTCCTAGGATTTGAATTTTTCCACCAAAGTCTGCAGAATTTTTCGAGGAAAGAGTTAAAAAATGATAGAAAGAGTGACACAGTCCTAGGAAAATAACATTTTATTCACGTTTTACAGTTATCTATGCAAACGAGACGTTATTTATGAAAGAACCTGATACAATCGATCCTCTGTCCGATAAGCAACAGGAAGATCGATGTTTTTAAGCTTCGAGAAAGTTGCTTTTATTAAGAGAATCGTGTGAAATTTTATCATGGACTTTCTCCTCGTAAATAATTGAAAGGGATATTGTTTGTTGCTTCCAAGTGGTTCCGCTCGATAATCTATTTTGGCGATCTTTTCAATCGGTTTTTCGATATTTCAGATGTGAGACACGGTGAGTTCATGGAAGACCACAGGCGATTTAGACACAGGTGCAAATCAACGTCCATGAGAGAGCTTCATAGGTATATTTAGCGAAGAATTTTCATTGCTTTCCTTTTTCTATCGTATGATTTTTTCCTTTATTTCGTTTTTCAGGTCTAACGTCGACACTAGCCTTCCACCAATGGATTCTATAGAATTAGGTAGGAAATTAGGGATACCTTAATTTTTTACAATTTGCAGACTTCTAGATTCGTATTAATATATTTTCCAACTTCTAATTAAATTAAAAATTAATTATCGATTAATTGTTAAATGATTAATACACAATTATTGGTACATAATATTATTTTTGCTATTAATTATTGGTTTATAATATAACTGTGATTAATTGATCAATTATTAAATTTATTATCGAGTTACCCAATTCTAATTATCTTGTCTTAATTCATAATTTGAGATATCGAAGTTCTTCGTATTCAAAAATTGTTTAGAAAATTTCGTATTAATATATTTTCCAACTTCTAATTGAAAAATTAATTATCGATTAATTGTTAAATGATTAATATACAATTATTGGTATGATATAATATAACTGTGATTAATTGATCAATTATTAAATTTACTATTAAGTTGCCTAATTTTAATTATCCTATCTTAACTCATAATTTGAAATATCGTTGTTTTTCGTATTTAAAAATTGTTTGGAAAATTTCGTACGATCTATTTTTACAACTGTTATTTTCGTTCTAATTTTAGTATGCATTTTCCTCCAGATGTTCCGGATTATCATACACAGCAAGATTATCCATCAATGGAGCAAGAGAAGTACATGGTGCAAATTGTTCCACCACCTCAACTCGATCTTAACACGTATGGACATTTAAAAATCGATTACACGAACAGCTGGAACTCATTGAATCGAAAGATCAGTAAATAATCGCCGATCATTTTTACCTCGACGAAGAAGACATCGAGCATTTCTTAAATGTATCCCTCATACTTGTAAACGTCATCGATTATTTATGTATTATATATGTATATTATTTAAGAACTTTAGAATCGAACCAAAAATTATTCTTAGTTTGATTTACTCGAGTATAGGAAAATCAGTAGCCAACTTCGCGAGTAAATTAATGTATCTTACATTATTCAGAATGTTTAATAAACGCTCCATTAATTTTGTCTTGAACGTCGACACGATAAATCGCGTATATTTTACGGAATATCCACTACAATTTCCCTGTCTTCGTGGAATAATTTCCTTTTCTTTGCTCTACTGTCACCATTTCCGGTTTCCACCTCATTTTCCATAGGCGTGACATTCGCTCTTGTTATGTCCAATTCTGGCCATCTATAAGACACACATCATACTACCAAATTAAATAAAGCACCGAATAAATTAAATGAAACGAATTCTAATTCATTGCAAGATGAATTAATTACATTAATTAAAAGGTAATTAAAAAGTACCTAAAGTACGAGGTATTTTTTTTACGTTTCTCTGAATTCTTTGGTCGTCCTCTTTTTGCAGGTTTACTCTGATTGAGAAGAAAGCATATATAAATATATATATATGTTTTTTAAATAATTTCTAAGTCATTTAATTTGGACAGTTGTAAATATTTAATTACGGAAATGGAGCCCTGTTTCGCGTTCTGCAGCAACATTTTATACCTCTGTATTTCGTCTGCGTGTTGCTGCTTCAGCACAGCAATGTCTTCGTTTTGCTTTTCCTCCTGCATGGCTAACTGTGATTTCAAAATTTCCACTTCGTCTTGCAATCTGCATACTGCGTCGAAAGTAATTTAATAATTTCGATATGGAATAAATGGTAAATAATTGCACGAACGATTAATGAATTTGAATAAATGCTAAATTGATAGATCGATAACTGGTAACAACTGATAAGTAATAACCGATAAGAGATAAGGTTTCTACTAAAGCACTTAAAATGTGTCGAAATATTTTGATAAAATATGTAAATGGCACGATATACAATATTTAATGATGTATATATATAATGCCTAATATATTCTCTATTATACAATTTTATGTATAATATAAAATATACTTTATTATGTACTACATATAAGTATACTATATATAGATGTAACATTGTATATATAATTAAATATATTTTATACAATGTAATATTATATGCAATATTTAATATATCTTACATGACACAACATTATGTACAATATTCTATATATTATACATTATATATATATTACTTATTATATAAACTAATATATATAAAATTATATAATA